CATTTTGAATTGCTCGAAACCGGATGTAAACAGGGCCGATATTTGTAGAATTTCCGGCTAGAGCTAGCCAATAGATGCACACATACAGCGCAAATGTCCAAAGTGCCAATCGCAGTGCTAGAACGGAGAAATTTAAAAACGTTACTTACTTAAAAAACATGCCTCGTATTAATAGGATTAAGTATTAAGAATTAAATTTATTCAGAGATATACATTCTTTTTAGGATCATTACACTACTAATTTTATGTATTTTAATGGAAAAAATAAATATTAAAGTGGCTGAAACTCGATTTCCGTTATTAATAATTTTAAGCCACTGTACTTGAACAAACACTTCTGTCTGGCAGTTAATAAGGTGCCCTGGCATACAAACGGAACTCCAAACCCAAAATATGTTCCAATCAAATACACTAACAAAATATAAGAAACAAGTGGCAGAGCTTTCAAAAAGCCAGCTACACACCCGCATGCCAAATCAAGAACACTCCTATACCATTAAACAACAATGAAGGAAGTACAGCCTGCCGAATAGAAAAGGACAGAGCCGTCTAATTTACAAAATAACCTGCAATCGCAATCCCCCTTGTACCAAACAATACCTTGGCTACACAAACGGGTCATTTTCCCAGTGTTTTAAAGAGCACCAGCACAACACTAGTCATTACAAAAATCCAACTTCCATAGTAGCAAAATACCTCAAACAAAACCCCACCCACTCAATATCATTACACCCCAATTCCCTTACAGTTTTAAAACAAACTCAGTCTAAAACCACAACCAAAATACAAGATAGCTACCAGTGACGGCGCTTCACCTGAACAGTAGGGTGGGCCTGTGGTGGGACATTGCGGGGTCGGATCGTTCCGGGGGGTCTGGGGGGTATGGAATACCCCTAAGGAGGAAGGGGGTCCGGGTCCTCCCCCGGGAAAATAAAAAAAAATAAAAGCTTTAAAACGTGTTTTTAGGCTACCTGAAGGACATTTTTCTTCAAGCAGTAACAAAGAAAATTTACAATTTAACAAAGACTCTACTACTATTTTTGACATAATATAGATGGGTTTTTATTATTTGAGGCACCTGATTGGAAGTTGGGTTGGTTAAAAAATGGTACGTTATTTTCTTCAGCTAAGTATTGAAAGCGTTGGTTTATCGCGAGTTTTCGTAATTGATAAACTGCTCCATCTGATCTGATCCTAGGTCCTAGCTACACGATCAGTAGAATGAGGTATGGTAGAGCGAGGTTAGAAAAGTTTAATGCTAAAAGATTATCCACTTCATTCATTTTCAAAAGCTAAAATTAAACGAAATTAAGTTAGGCCTACCATGTGTCAATCATCACAACTGTGAGTTAATAATATTAAAATATAACTAATATTTTGCTGAAAGTATAACTACTGTATAATTCTATTAATTTAGTAGACTACTTCAAGTATTTTACTTAGTAGGTCTAGTCTTTCTGTTATCTACTCTACGTCTACTCTACTCGTCTACTAAACAAACGTGTAATTGAAATAGTAAATAATTCAAAACTAATATAGGCATTGGCATGCTCAAAACTATCTATCTACAAACATACAATTAGTCTGTAAATTTACAATTTAAATCATGGCAAGAACTGGATTTTTTAATAATAACTCACAATTCTGAAGATTGCAGTACCGTTGAAGTAGGCCTAACCCCATTTTTGAACCACGAACACCCACTTCACAATAACATCACCACACCATCATCATACCTTTAAATTTAAATGATCACTAACTTAAAACCGACACAATCGTATTATGGCAACCCTAATAAATCTGTAATAATATCACGAAACTAACTAAAAGTGTTAACTTACTAATTAATAAAATATTTCATACAACTACAACCCGTTTGCCGGTTGGTGTACAACATACACGGGCGGCGGGAATCGGGATGTAAACAAAGCTACACTAGCGCTCAGCACTCCCAGCGATAATATTGAGAATAAACGTCCAGTGGGCCAGCTCAAATCGGCCCTTCTGCTCCATATACCAATGCATTGTTCCCTGATAGTCAAGTGCCGACGACTGGCGTTGCCTTGTCCATTACGTTCTTATGGTGGCTAGAAGGGCCCGAAATCTGTGGCCCTCCAATGTGTTAAGAGATTATTGCATTGTATTTCAACAAAAGTTATGACCCGTTGAAAGTTCAAAATTAATTTACATCGCAGTTTATTGAATAATATCAACCAAACAAAATATTAAGAATTTAAAAATATACTTTAGTGTTTATTTTGGGTGGGCCCGGCCCACTTGGCCCTTATGGAAGTACCGCCACTGATAGCTACCAAATTTATAAACATACTAGCAGAGTACCCGTCCTTCGTACGGGGTTGGCATATAAGTATCAAATGCTTATAGCAGTTATGAGTGAGGACATGGTTTAAGAAATTTCGGTTCTTTTTGAAGTTCGTTCGCTACGCTCACTCACCTTTAGGTTGGAGCTCGTTCGCTGCGCTCACTTTCCTTCAGGTTAGCTCGTTCGCTACGCTCACTTGCCTTCAGGTTAGCTCGTTCGCTACGCTCACTCGCCTCCAGGTTGAAGTTCGTTCGCTACGCTCACTCACCTTTTGCTGTTGTCATAAATGTAAAAGAAATAATAGTGCTAGTGCTGCACCCTGTTGGTAATCCTTGTAACTTTAATGCTATTGAACATCACAGAACAGAACCAACTTGTTTAATTGAAACAGCTGTTAAGATTCAATAATTTCATTTCTCATAAGGTTAACATGGGAAACTCCAGAGCCACTGGGGCGGAGCCCGAAAGGATTTTTGAAATAAAAATATGCCTATATGTTAATCGGGAATGTGAGCTATCATCATGCCAAATTTCAGCCCGATCCGACCAGTAGTTTTCGCGTTTACTTTTCCCATACACACACACAGACACCACCTCTTTTTTATAATAGTATAGTATAGATAACCGAATCTGGACATGACAGCCTGCTTAATGTAAAAGAAGACTTTAACGGTTCTATCATCTTTAAAACTATTCATGAAATAGAAACTAAATCTAACCCATATGGCAACATTGCAGAAAACAGGCACTGTCGCAAATAGTGATGTGTCAAAACCAAATCTCAAAACCATCAAAACTTAAGAAAAGTTTCGGTTTCGAGATTCGATAGGCAAGTTTTGAGATTCAAAAGTTTCGAAATTGAAAATTATGGCACTATTTGTTGAAACTGCTGAGATTTTTTGTGTCATTATTATTGTTTATAACACTGTTTATATATACAAGATGGTAGCAATGGAATTTTTTATTGACCTCTAAATGTTCTAATTAGTTTAATATCATTATAATGTCATATAATCTGATAATTAATTTAATATCAGGAGTTTTATTTATTTTAATGTTTCTTTATAAAAAATTTTTTTGTTTTGGGTTTGAATTTTTATGTGTCACATTTATGTCTGGATCAGGAGTTATCTCTTTCAGTTTTGATCACATAATCATAATGAAAATGTTATCATTAGGCCTACCAGTATTTTTAGGGTAACTTGGGTTTAATCGCGTTTGGGTTTTGAGATTCGAGATTCGATTTTTTAAGTTTCGGTTTTGGTTTCGAGATTCGAAATTTAAGGTTTTGACCATCACTAGTTATTAGGTTCAAATTTCACCAATTACCAATGGTCTTAGCTGAGCGATAATACCATGATTCTTTAGGTCTAGTATGAAGTAATGTGTAAAACAGTTTTGGGCTAGAACCAGGTGTCCTGAAATGTGACTGTAGGGCGTAACTACTACAGTAGACTCTTTTAACCAAAGAAGATACAAGACCTCCATAAATAATTGGATAAGAAATAAGATTTATAAATTTTATTTTCAGGAAAAATTGCTCTTACCATGTAAATTAATTTATGACTGCAATCTAGACTTTATGAATGCCGGGGATGGTTCCTGGAAGGCTGGGTCTATGTGTCTGTTTGCTGATGATTGTAATGTGCTAATTCCGGGAAAATAAAAAAAACAGATTGAAACGTTTTCTTAAGAGAGTCTTTTATCAACTAAAGAATTCCTTGACTAAAAAAAATCTTATTAACACTGAAAAATCTAATGTTATATCATTTAGATTTTCCACTAAACAACGTAGACAAAATTTTGACCCGAACATTTGTGTGAAATCAGAAAGAATAAGCCAAGTAGAGCAAACAAAATTTCTTGGACTAATTACCGATCAACATCCTATCTTGGGAGGGCCATGTAAATTATATGGTTGAAAAAAGGTATCTTCCATGCTCGAAAGACGTCCAGAATATGCAGTTTAGACACTCTAAGAGTTGTTTATTTCTCATTAATACATTCGCATATTTCATATGGAATTGCTCTAAATGGAGCAACAACAAAAACTAATTTAGATAAAGTAATCATTAAGCAGAAAAAAACTATCAGAGTGATAAAAAATCTTAAAAAAAAGAGCCAGTCAAGAACATTTTTCGTGAATTACAAATATTAACAGTCTATAGTCTTCTTAACATTAATGAAACAATAATTTATGCAAAACAGATCCAAATATTATCCACTTCAAGAGAACAATTAGTATATAACACCATATTAAAAATTAACCTACCTCGGCATAATCTAAAATTCTACACTAAAAAGACATCTTACATAAGGCTAAAAATTCTCCAGTTTTTACCGCATGTAGAAATAACTCAACGTTACACTCATCATGTAACGCCTTAGCCAACTGGGCTACCATGTCACCGTCGGCCGGGCGCGAGAAGTGCCGCTATTAGCACACTAGCGCTCGCAGGGGAGATTCAACGAACTAACGCCCCAAGATATGCTCAGGCTTAGACTTAAAAGTGTTAATTGAACAAAATTTTCCTGTTTTTTTAAAACTCTTTTACTGGAAATCTTTGTGCAAAGGCATTAAAGGCTTGAATACCCTCAATGTTTTTATTAATTACAAATTCGATCAGTCTGTCATTATCCTAAAAGGAAAATATTCAGTATCAATTCCATGTTGCAGGTATTACACCAAGTACTTTGGAGCAGATGGCAACGCAGGGCCAGACATGAGTCTTTACGCACTTGCGAACTTCAACAGATGGGAAAAAGAGATCAGTTCATGGCAGAGTCCAATTTTAGAAGACTTGTAAGTAACAGATTACCATTATTGCTGATTGTTGGTAAATGCTTAGGATCATGGTGAATCGGTTGTTGAGTCTCTAACTGCGGACTACGAATACATGGCAGCGATGTATGTTTGTGTTCTGGTACCGGTCACAATAGGTTATCGGTGCATTTCACTCTTATACAGTACCGGCACACCTCTTGCTTTACTGTATAAGTTCCACACACAGGCTTACGCCTATGTGGACGGGTAAACTCGGGGTAAAGAGTTGCCCACCTGTAAAAATACGCAGAAACATAAGTCCTGTCAAGAAAAGCCAGATCCAGCTGTTTAATCCAATTTAGTGCTGCTTTTTTTCAAACTGGTTCCATTTTGGACATTAAGAAAACTCTCTCTTCCTTAGTTAAAAATGGCGTCAGTGACAGTGAAATATTCTAATGTTTTTTGTATATAGTGTAAAGTTTTGTGTTTTCTGCGCCAGTTTGGACTCTTTCCCATTCAGTTAAGCCTGCTGTCCTCTCAAAAAATCCTAAAAACCTATGTTACACCCTTAACCTCGAACTCTAGTTTTGTTGATTTATCGGCTGATGTCTCCTTATCGCACCTTCAATATTCAGAGTTTGAACCATCAAGTGTTGTATTATCGAGTGTCAACTTTAAGGAACGAGACTCTTATATTAATTAGCAAACTTTTACAGGAATCTACCAGAATGGTATAAGAGCGCCATTTTCAACGAAGTATACTACGTAGCTGACGGGGGAACAGTTTGGCTTCTCATGGACGACTCTGAAACTTTGACTCCTTCAGATCCGAGGTCAATACTATCACAATAGCATTTGTCATACTTAAGAGTAAATATACTTTAAATTCTTCTTTTCAAATATTCGGGAATTAAATTTTCATTTAAGGAATTTCAGTTTTGAAGCTTGTGTTAAAGTGTTATCATCTGTCAAGTGTAGGCTACATGTTTTTCTAGTAATGCAAATAATATTATTTTATGGTTAAGGGTTAAGTGTACTTGTTTTGGTGAGGTAATTAATCCGATTAATAGGTGAGAAAGAAAAGTGTCATTTTAGTTATAGCTCCCAGATATCCCCGATCTTATGAAAAGTCCCTGATATTTCAGTTGGGACATCCCTTGGATCCCTGTCCTTGGATATCCCTGATAACAGACACAATTTTATATTCCTCCAATTATATATTGTAAACATTTTAATTTCTAGCTATGGAAGTACTTAATAAGTTAATTGTATCAACCACAATTACATATTATTGTGAGAATTTAGGTGCAATAAGTGCGGTTAGAGGTAACCGGGATTTGTGCTGTTATCTAATCTACTGTAAACTTTAATGTGCAAAGTCAACAAATGTACATTTTTGTCAGCTGTAATATGTAAATATTTCATATATATCTTAATAACCAAAACAAAACGGTTTGTTGAGTTTGAAATATTGTTACATGAGTGAAAATCACCAAACTCTGCTAAATGTAAATTTATCAATATTACAAACATAAGTATACCTGAAAATTGCTTGGTGAAGTATAGAAAAATACCCTCCAAACCATCGATTTTGCTAGGCAGGTTCTGTATTATGCTGAAACATATCCTGTTTTCTGTTGTAGAAGAGAGTTTGGCAGGTTCGGATACCTGGAAGGCCATGAGTATAGGATGTACAATACGTATGACGTCCACTTCTACGCGTCGTTTACTCTCGCGCAGCTGTGGCCGAGATTACAGGCCTGTCTGCAGTACGAATTCAGAGACACGGTGCTGCGGAAAGAGGGGGAGCAGCGGAAACACCTGTTTGACGGCAAGATAGGGAATAGAAAGGACCTGAACGCTATCCCCCACGATCTTGGCGATCCAGGTAGTTGGAAACGATGATTAGGAATTAGTAAAATACATCAAAGTAGATATTTAGCTAAAAAGTTAAATTTGTTAACTGGAATACAAGGTTGAAACACCAAACACTATTTTCACAAATGACAAATTTAAAAGTTTAATAGTTTCCAAAATCAAGTTTAACGTTTGTCCTAGAAAATTCAGTCATGAAATTTCTTACAGATGAATACACTGTTTGAAACTAATGGTTGTAAAATTGGGTCTTATAAAGTTCCAAACTAAATATTCTTTAACATTTAGTGGGCAATTATTTGCATGTTCGTTGAACCTTTAGAACTTGTTTTTAACCCTCGGGCTAAACCCACTGCTCTACAATTGGATCAGATGAAACATTCCTACAGGATATTTGCAAGTCCCACCTTTGCATCCTAGGACACAGGCTCTATCTCAGATCCGTTCTTCAGGCTAGGCCTAGAAGCTTGCTGCATTATCAAAGATAAAGTCCATTGTTAATTGGTGGGATTTGAACCTGAGACTTTGGGTACTTAAGTTCCACGTTCTTCTACTATACCAGCTCGCTCTCCTAGAGAATGATTTTTTAATTTAATAAACAGCCGATGATTAGCAGTACATTGTGAGAATGAAGCAATATTATATTAACAGATTAGTCTAGTTTTAAAAACAATTGGGTAACTATCACAATATTATTTTTTAGAGAATTTCTCATATAGGGAATAAGCTATTACTGTAGGTTTCAAGGTAAGACTTGGACCCAAGACCGATTTACTTTTTTGTTCTGATGTCCCCAAAGACCAAAAACACGATCCGGTCAAATTCATATGTATATGTGTGTGTCCGTTAGCATGATAACTCAAGCAAAAATTATTTCAATGACATTTGGTAAAAATGTGTAAACCTACGTTTATTTGAACGAGTTCGCGTACCAGCATGATCGGACCATGGGAACGGGGTTTTATGGATTGGTTTTTCTCGTTTTTGACCCTGAAAACATCAAATTTCCCAATTTCTCTCTTAGAGACTGTTTTGAAGAGCTTAAAAAATAAATAATTTAGTGTATTGAAGTGTTTTTGTATGGTTATTGGTTACAGAGATAATTCAAAAAAATTTAAATTTCAAATTCCCATGTTATTCTTCTGGAGAAACCATAGACAAAAAGAATTAAATATAGACCGTCAGCTGTGCTGCAGTTACCATAGGTTCTGGCGCACACCGCTGGGATCGCCACGGTAGTTACAGCGTACGCGCTACGTAAACTACAGCGGTGTGCGCCCGAACTTATGGTAACCATGGTAACCGCAGCACGGCTGACAGTCTATATATATTTAATTCTTTTTGTCTATGGTCAAACCTAGGACTAGGCCCTAGCATCTTAGGATGTAAAGGATGTACATAATATAATGTCTTTTGTTGTGAAAACCTGACGTGTCATATGTTTACTGCTGATGTATCACAATTATGTAAATTCTATGTGACAAATAAACATTTCATTTCATTAAAGGTAGGGAAAACTAGCAGTGTGAGAAAATGTTCATTCTCTTGGAATATATTTTGCCTTATACAATTATTAACCTTGTCAAAACATTCTCTTAGCTTCATAGCTTAACCATTTCTTTTAATTGGTTTGGAAACGGTTTTCCTGTTGAGGATCAATTGCTCACACTCTATGTATCGTGTCGTCAGGTGAAGAACCGTTTCTCCTCATCAACTCGTACATGGTCCACGACGTATCCGAGTGGCGAGATCTAAACCTCAAGTTTGTACTACAATGTTTCCGAGATTACAAACTTTTTGACGATCAACAATACCTTCAGGACATGTGGCCCCAAGTGAGTCAAGGTTTTATTTTGAGTTTCTACTACCTGTAGGTGTAACATAATGAAAGCAATAGAAACGATTTGAAAATATATTTAAAAAAATTCTTTTACTAGTTCCTGTCTCAGCTCAAGCCCTCCTTGGCTAAAACACTGTTAGTGACAGTGATATATTCTAATTGTGTTTGGAGTAAAGTTTTTACGTTCTTTGTCTTTCTCTTGTGCAAGGAAGGTGTTTTCCCCATTTAAGTAAACCTGGTGTAAAAAAAAAATTGTTACCTACATATGTTATACAGTAGGCTCTCGCTCATCCGGATTGGCCTTGTCCGGACTCCCGGTAGTCCGGATCGGCAATCTTGATTTTTTTTTAGCGGCACAGTACAGTAGAAGTCCGATTATCCAAGCGAAACGGGACCGAGACTACCTTAAATAATGAAAAAATTGGATAACACGGCGGTAAAAATTATTACCGGTGGAAGTGCATATGCCCGGGCTATCATTACTGTGGACCTGGAACAAAATTCGGCCGAAACAATTATTACCGGTGGAAGTGCATATGCCCGGCTATCATTACTGTGGACCTGGAACTAAATTGAAAAAACGGCTATATACAGTACTGTGTATTTGCTCGACTCTCGATAGTCCGGATTTTTCGTAATCCGGACCGGACGTCCGCCACATTAGTCTGGATGAGCGAGAGTCTACTGTATTTAAGTTAGAAACGGTTTGCACCATGTGTTATTGGCCACCACATTGTAATATGATCGTTGGTTGTATTCCAATACAGGAGAGTCCTGCTTTGATCAGAATAAAATTTGTAGAAGGGATATAATTTTATCATTCTGTTGATACAAAAACCTTCAACATGTTTGTAAACTGGGTATTCTAGACAAAATTGAAATTTTCAGCTACCGATTAGTTATAGCGCTCCACCTTCAAATATGGAAGCTGTGTGTTTAATGAAGGATCAGTTCTGAACACAGTTGCTATTTTTCATTTGGCTACCAAATAATGTCGCTATATATTGTAAGGTATCTATTACAGTTACATAGTACCTACTTAGACTAGAGTTTTGAGCGTTCCCTTACAAAAAACGTAAAAATACCAATAATACAGAAATAATCCAAATAAAACTAACCTAATTGTTATTTAAATTTACTAACATTTTGCCTAAGTTAAAATTGATTTTACTCTGCTAAATTTTTTATTTAAGACACCAAACCTAACTTTTTCTTCTCAGCTAACTTGGACAATTTTCCGAAATTATTTGTGTAAATAGAAAAATTTGTGTGTGTAAGTGACGACCTTGTTCTTTGCTGTGGCCACAGTTGGCTGCACTGGTTATACCTCTACCACACCATAATACTCAGTAAGAAACCATTCTATATTGGCTGCAAAATATAAATTCAAAATACATGAAAACCTATCGGGAAAAAACGAAAAAGGAACTTTAGAACTGGATTGTAAATCAACCATTGTACTCAATCAAGGATCTTTTGACTTAAGAAGGTAATGAAACACCAATGAAACCAAATAATTATTGTAAATCAAGAACTCAAGCTAACTGAATCCTATTCCTTTTCAAAAAGATTCCTAACCAACCACTAGGCTTTCTTTTGAAATGCATCCTGAATTTTTTCTTTTCTTAAAAATTACTCTGGCTATCTGAACAGTGTACACAATAAAATTGGGTCAGGTTGATTTTACTGTATTGGTTAATGTTGAAACCGTTATCTAATCTTTATCCTTTAGGTGCAAGCAGTCATGTCGAAAGCCCTCAGTTGGGACGAGGATGATGATGGAGTTATAGAAAACGGAGGCTCGGCAGACCAAACCTACGACGCTTGGATCATGACAGGCACCAGGTCAGTCTAGCAATCGTATATTTATAAAGCAAATATGCATCTTGTAAAATCTGAAACATTCTTTGATAGGGATGGATGGGGATTGAATTTTTAGTTCGGGTCGGGACCGGACGGGATTTTTATTTCCTTCCCGATTTTCGGGACGGGACGGGATAGGATTTTTTCCTATGCATAAAAAGTATTGAGTATTGCAGTTACCAAAATAGACAAACAAAATCAATTTTCACCGTTTGTGGCACTGATTTTTAAAAACCAAAAAATGGTTTGGTTACAAAAAACTACAGGTACCTATAGAAACTTGTGACTCGCGGTCACGGTGCGATCATCAAAATGACAGTGGTCACAGGGTAATCGTCGATATGACTCGCGAACACTGCATGATCGTCGGTATGACTCACGGTCACGGCATGACTCCGTGGCCACGGCGGGAGTGTCGTTTTGACTCTGTGGTCACGAGGTGATCGTCGGTATGACTCACAATCACGGCACGATCGTTGGTATGACTCAGCGGTCACGGGGTAATCGTTGATATGACTCGCGATCACAGCCTGATCTTCGCTATAACTCGCGGTCGAGGCACGATTGTCGAAATGACTCCGCCTTCACCGCGCGATTGTTGGTATGACTCTGCGGTCATGGTGCGATCGTCGGTGTGTCTCGCGGGATCGTCAGTATGACTTCGCCTCCTGCGTTCACGGAACATCTCTCGCGACAGCGGCGTTATCGTCACTCGCGAAGCGGCAAAGTCGCCGACGATCGGACCAAATCCCGTCCCAAAAAATTCCTAAATCAAATGTAATCCCGTCACGAAAAATTTTGGGACCCGTCCATCCCTATTCTTTGATCTGTGCTACATATAGAGTATTGATGTTGACAGAATGTTTCTTTGTTATCCTAGGGAAACATTTAAAAACATTTTTTATAAAACAGGATCACAGTCAACCTTAAGTTATCAATTTTGCTAACTATATGTTAAATATATGGATAAATGTGACTACTATCCAATATTTTGACCAATTTATTTATTTTTGTTTAGACACACCACTAGTATTTTTAAAAGGAATATACCATTACCAGTGAGAATAGATATACTGTAAAAACCATTCCAGAATTAACTTATATGAGGTTTTTTTAATTTTATCAATGATTTTAGCATAGTTGGTTACAAGAGGGCAGTTTTTTTTTTGTTATTTTTATTTGTTTATTTTTCTTAGCAAGGGAAAGAAGCCTAAAAACTTGAATTATTAATTAACTAAGCCTAATTGTAGTTTTAATTGTAATTGTAGGCATATTAATGTCCATTTCATTAGTGAGTTGAATTATTCAGTAACATGTGAGGTCATGTTGCCACCCTAAATAACATGCAAGTGTCAGTGACTCCACAGTGTTGTGTAATGGTTAACATTCAGTGGCAAATAAAAAGCATTACTGCAGATTAACAGGAGGATTCCTGAATTTAAATTAGTTTTTTGTCAAGAAAGTAAAAGATGGATGATCGAACTGAAGAAACAAGTGAAGAACTAAAATACCAAAATCTACCCACTAAGACATCAGATACTCTTCTTGATTTGCAAGATCAGATTGAGGCCATTATCAACAAACGGATGGATAGTATGGAAAGAAAAGTTACAATGAATGTGTCTTCCCAACTATCAGAGAAACTAGGAATTGTGACTGCTGCAGTGGAGGAAATCAAAGCTACACAGGACCACTCAAGACATATGATGATAAAAATACCTGAACGACACAAATCTTATATCGATGATATCCGTAACATCAGTTTACCCGGTGTGCGCAATGCCATTTTTGAAACGATGCCAAAAATGCATGTAATGGTAAGTTTGTTGATCCATTTAGGAGCTCTTCTGATCAGTGCCTTCTACATCCAGGATGCATATCAAAACTGGCAAAACGCTCTGATAGTGCAGAGTCTGACCTACACCCGAACCAAAGACATACCATTCCCAGCCCTCACTATCTGCGAGCCCTTGGGGTTGAAAGATGATTACAATCGATTTGAAATATTACAAAGATGTGTGTCGATAAAAAATAGCGTTTCTTGGCTGTGCAGTGAGGACGAGCTAAATCGGTTGAGAATTTCAACTGATATAACTCCGATAGAATACGATCTACTGCCGATGAATGAAAGTGATAGAGATAGTTTTATAACGTTATATGTACCTTTATTTGATCACTCAGTAAAGACGCTCCCAGTTGATCTTGACCAGACGTTCAGTGCGAGTAAGTATCTTAAATACATTGAGGAACTAGGGAATCAGCGTCTGAGCCAATTTAAAATATACAATCCAGACTTTATTGATGGTCCATATCACACAGTTGCAATTGATAGTTCAAGTAGCCAAAGGATATTAATGGCACGAAGGCAGGACTTGCAAGATGGAATTAGAATATGCCAAACATTTAATGCTATAAGACACGGTCCTCAGGAGATAAAAGCAAAGAAGGTAAGCGATGATCTTGAAAATCATCATGGAAAAAACACCCTCTGTAATCCTGAAAATGCGTTGGAAAACGGTTGTAATCTTGATCTGTTATACACTGATAATTTTGTTGAGATAGAATTTGACTATGCAAGTTTAAATGAGCTAAGCTCTGTCAGTATTAACGAAGATGAAGAAAATTCGGACATTACTCTCATAAGCAACTCTAAAAGAGAAACTGAAAAGTATATTGTATTTATTCATTACAACTTTAACTATCCATCAATAACAACTATGGATTTTCAACTTATCAGTAAAGGTACAACTTCGTCCACAACCATAAATCCATCGGTTATCAATGCTCGGAAAGACCTGTTTGAAGTAGATACTATGAAACGAAACTGTGTATTTTCACACGAGAAGAAGTTGTCTCTTTTCACCTTTTATACTTACAACAACTGTATTTTTGAATGCCAAATAAACTGTTCGCTATCAGAATGTGGTTGTGTACCATACCATGTTGCGATTTTCAACGGCTCATTTAATATTTGTAGCAACCATGTGTCTAAAAGTTGTATAGAGAAAAGCCAGTTTTTCTACTGGCATTTGTATAAAGACAGAAGATGTAAGTGTGATTGTCCTACAGATTGTGTGTCTATTGAATTCGAGAGAGAACTAAGTTATGAAAATCCAATTGGTCAACAAACTACAACCTACCAAGCTTCTTATCTAAAAAATGACATTGTATCAGTTATACGCTACAAGCTTACTGGCCCGGCAGAGTTTGTAGCTTACAGTTTGGGTATTTTGGGTGTGTTCAACGGGTTCAGCATGGATCTGGTGTGGCAGATGGCCTACTGGCTCACCCTTGGTCTTTGGTGCACAGTCAGAAACATACTACATGAGCGATAAAAAAAAACCGAATTATTGATGTTTGAAATATATTTTACTGAGATATAGCCGATATTGTCAATATTATATATGTATGTAAAGTCAGCAAAACATTTAGTAAAAAAAACCTTATACATGAAAAAATATATCACATACTGACCAGCATTTTATAATTTTCTTACTTATTGAATTGCCCTACGTAGCCTTATAAGTTTATCCACTGATTTTTTTCTTTAGAATCATGTAACTGTCAATGATTATTATTAAAATGTGAAGACATTTTTTTAACAAAAACAAGCTAAACTCTACATAATAAGACATTCTATTTACACCAAGGTGATTTGGAAAGGAAATTCTTTTGGAGACTGTGAAGGGGTGATCCCAGTGGCATTGATTTTAAATTTATATGGTTCTCTCTTTTCACTGTGTGTTATTTACACCAATGGCATTTTTCAAAGTTTTTTTTAAGGGAACGATCCAACCCCTGGTCTTGTTACTAATCTTCTTACTCATATTAGTTAATTGCTGTGATAGAGTAGTCAAAAGAAAAAGGTTTTGGTCAGAAATGTAAATTCATATCAGCTTGTACAGCCTTTAGTGCCTAATACTGCAGTAGTTGACTAAATAAATTATTTTGACCTTTCATATTTACTCCACTTGTCCATACATATTTCCCCTTATCTTAGGTATAAAAAATCAACCGTATAAGAACCAACTATCTTCCCTAGTCAACATTTTTCTTTAAATTATTGCTTTACGAATAATTGTGATTAGTGAGGAGGATGGAAGCTGTGAGTAGACAATAGACAAAGTTTTATTGCAAATAAAGTTTGACACAGTTTATAAAAGTAATTCCCAAGCTGGTACATTGTCATCATAATGAAAGCAAAATCCATGCAGCCTATACAGAACAAAAGGCACAGGACCCTCGTTTGCAGTATGCTTCTCGACAGCGAATGTCCGCTCACTGTGGTAGGTCTATGAAAATGTCGGACAAATTTGGTAGGAACGTTTTTGATCACACTCGTTACAGTAAAGGCTCAGCACAAGCAGATTTTCACCAAAACAAAAAAGATTACGTTAAAGACTTTCAGGTTGGGCTATATCAATCCGGTCATTTTATTTTTGATAGGTGGCTGAAGATCCTAATTTGTTGCCCATTGCTCTACAGCAGGGTATACAGACCTGTGGGTCACATCCAGCTCACAAAAATATGTTTTCCAGCTTGCATGAAGCTACTAGCGTCTAGACTGCCAGTACAACTCCGAGGATCGTGGATCAGAGGCGCTGAGACACCACCGCACCATGTCGTTCGCTTCCGAATCATACCGGCGCATCAGCATAGCTTATCTAACTGTTCGCGGAAAATTTTTATCTGTATCACTGTCGCTGTCAAAACGTATGATTTGTAGGTTAAATTTAAATTAAATATAATTAAACTGTCATAACCTAACCAAACTTGCTGATAATGATAACTCGAATGAAGGTTTACTAATCGAAAAAATAGCTCTGTTCTAAAAATAAAATTATAAATGTCTCAAATTCAATTTTATAATTTTTTAATTATAAAATTAAACTGTCATAACCTAACCAAACCAACCAAACTTGCTGATATGAAAAAATTTGTTGACAAAAAGTTAGTGCTACCATCGCGATTCGAACCCGGAACCTTCAGATTATCAGCCCGGCACGCTTTCCACTGCACCACCAAGGCTCATTACTCAACTCCGTATCGTTGCAGTAATGGTTGACGTCACGCCATCGGCACGGAGCCGTGGTGAGGGGGTTTTTCGATCTGATCCACGATCCTAGGAGTTGCACTGGCAGTCTAGATGCTCATGCATGAAGCTAGGTCAAAGAGGAAGTTTTTGTTGTGAGAACAGTTTATTTAATACCACATGTTAATTTATATTAATTATAATCATATGTTTATTTGTTATTCCATGTTTGTAAAAAGGTAAATAAACTTAGTTGAGTTTGAGTTATGACATAAAACAGTGCATCCACTTAATTCTTAGTAAAATAGTACAGTTTTTGATGTCGCAGCGATACTCAGATTGTTTTCTGCAATCAAGGCAACACTCGTTGCCATAACTTGTGGTCTCAGTAATACCATGGTCTTCACCCGCAATCCCTGCAACACTTTTCACCATGATACAATTTCTTTCATTTTCAGTTTCACTTCCTAGGTTGATAAGATTCTTGACTGTCGTGAAAATAAGGATTTTTCTGCAATTACATTCTGTGATCTTAGTATAGCATTCGTTCGAGTATCCCATAAAATTTTGGTATGAAAATTTTAACATTTTAACAATAAAGGAAAAGTGTTTGATTTATTTAGATTTTATTAATTAAATAGAACACATTACATAGTTTTGGGAGAAGATGTATCCTCTTTTAAGCCTGTATTTTGTCGAGTCCCTCAAGGATCTGTGCTTGGGCCTCTGTTGTTTTTGGCAGTAGTTAATGACTTAAGTGTTAATATCCCTGCAAATATTGTTCTATATGCCGACGACACAACGATCATTACTAGACATGCAGATTATGAACAACTTTTGTAGACTATAGGTATTATCTAAAAAACTGGTCAAGCTGGTTTTAAACAATCTTGTACTAAATAATTATAATACAAATAATGTTTTGTTTAACCTACGTGATCTAGCCTACATTATATCTGTGAAATTTTTAATTACATTTTGATATTATGTAGCAAATGACGAGCCCTATTGCACTGTAAAATGTGTAAAAGGGTAATAAAGATTCTTATTCTTTTTATTTATAGTGTTGCCAATGGGAGAGAAAAATCCAAAAATATTTAGGATTGACTTTTGATTCCACTTTAAACAGGCATGATCAATGATAATGTTGTATTTTTTTAATAAACTCAGTTTGAGTACATTTGCACTAAAACGTTTATGCGGCTAAAACGCCTTCTCTCACACAGACATACTATGGACATTTTCATAGCCATTTAAGCTATGGGTTGCTTATTTGGGGGTCTTCTACTCATTCAAAAGAAATTTTCAATTTGCAGTAAAAGGCAAATTAGGTCATAGCTGCTGTAGATAGGCACATGTCCATTTCATTATTGAGTTGAATTATTTAGTAGCATGTGAGGTCATGATGCCACCTAAATAGCATGCAAGGTCCAGTGACCTGGTGACCCTGCAGTATTGTGTAATGTTTAAAATTCAGTGGTAAATAAAGAGCATTACTGCAGATTTACTGACGGTTTCCTGAATTTAACTTAATTTTTGGTCAAGAAAGTAAAAGATGGTTGTTCAAAATGATGTAACGAGCAAAGAAGAAAAATACCAACATCTACCCATTTAGACATCAGTTACACTTCTTGATTGGCAAGATCAGTTTATTCGATTTGAGGACATTATGAACAATCGGATGGATAGTATAGATAGAAAAGTTAGTTATGTGTCTTCCCAACTACCAGAGAAACTAGGAATTGTGACTGCTGCAGTGGAGGAAATCAAAGCTACTCAGGACCACATATGACATATAGGAAGACATATGATGATGAAAATACCTGAACGACACAAATCTTATATCGACAAAATCCGTAATATCAGTTTACTCTGTATGCGCAATGCCATTTTTGAAAGGGTGCCAAAAATGCATGTAATGGTAAGTTTGTTGATGCATTTAGGAGCTCTTTTGATCAGTGCCTTCTACATCCAGGATGCATATCAAAACTGGCAAAATGCTCTGATAGTGCAGAGTCTGACCTACACCAGAGCCAAAGACATGCTATTCCCAGCCCTCACAATAAAAATTGGTTTAGTAAAGTCATGCAAAAAAAAAAAAAATTTACTTACTCTCGAATACTTGCACCAGCAATCACAGAAAGACACAGAAAGCCTTAGGACACGCCATCGGAGACCATCTGCTCAAAGTAGAGCAATTTCAGTGCTGCCACAAACTGGAGTAAATATATATCTGTCTTACTCTTACTCTTACTCCCAGGGCCATGCATATCTAAGAAGATATTTGGCCGCACCAACAAAGCCTCTCCATCTTGCTCTATCCTCTGCATCCTCCTCAGTTGCTCCTAGTTGCTCCATGTCTTTCTTTACTTGGCTCCACCATTTTTGTTTTGGCCTTCCTCTCGGTCGTCTTCCTTCGGGATTTCTTAGTAAAACTAATTTTAACTTATTTTGCTCCTCTCTTCGTAAAACATGTCCAGCCCATCTAACTCTTCTTCTTCTACACTTAAATTCACACACCACATCTGGATCTCTGTAGAGTTCTCTCAGTTCTCTGTTGTGTCTCTTCCTCCATTCACCACCTTCATAAATTGGTCCATAAATTTTTCTTAAAATCTTATTTTCGAATGTGATTAACTTCTTTTCTTCTTTTTTATTTGGTTTCCATGTTTCAGCTCCGTATAATAATACTGGGCTGATTATTGTCTTATAAATTATAACTTTGGTGTTTTTAGACAGTAACTTAGAGGACATCAGTCTGTTGCAAGCGTAGAAACATCTGTTTGCCAGATTTAGTCTATTTTGAATTTCTATTTCTTCTTTGTTTTCCCTGGATAAGATAACCCCTAAGTACTTAAAATGTTCTACTTTTTCAAATGTATGGTCATCTACCTGCAGTGGGTCTTGGGCTATACCTTGATTTCTTGAAAATTGCATATATTTGGTTTTCCCATCATTTACTTTTAATCCTAATTGTCCTGTTTTGTCCATAAATATTTTTGTTAGTTGGCGTAGGTCCTCTAAAGTTTCTGCAAAAATGACGACATCGTCTGCAAACGCTAATATGTTAATTCTGGAGCCAATTGAAATTCCCTTATCTATTGTTGTCACTTCTTGTAGAGCTTCTTCTATTGCTAAGTTGAAGAGGATTGGGGAGAGCCCATCCCCTTGCCTTACCCCTGCATTTACTGTAAAGGGCTCCGAGACTCTCCCATTTACTTTTACTGAACATGTGGAATTTGCTACAGTTGTTCTAGCAAGGTTTATAAGTTTGGTTGGGATTCCAAATTTGTCCATCTTTTTCCACAGTTTCTCTCTATTTATGCTATCATACGCTTTTTGGAAATCAATAAATATTGCAAAAAACTCCCTATTATACTCCCAGTACTTCGATATGACTTCTTTAAGGATAAATATTTGATTCATTGTGGACCTGCCTTTCATGAAACCAGCCTGATGATCTAGGATTAGTTCATTTGTATATTCTTCGATCCGATTTAATACTATCTTTGATAAAACTTTGTACGGTATGCTAAGGAGTGATATGCCTCTAAAATTACTACATTCTTCTTTCTCTCCTTTCTTGTGAATGGGGACTACTATTGCTTCCCTCCATTCTTCTGGAATTTCTTCTCTCTCCCAGATTATTTTAATCAGTTCCCAAAGCTTTCCTATTACTACTCCCCCTCCCTTCTTCAGTATTTCTGCTGCTATCCCATCTCTGCCCGGGGCTTTATTGCTCTTCAGAGCTTTGACTGCTGCTTCGACTTCTTCTCTGGTTGGTGCCTCAACCTTTGGTTGAACGTGATGGTATACGTCATCGTTATCTTCTTCTGGTGCAAAGTCCACACCATCTACATTTAGTAAGTCGCAGAAATATTCTCTCCATCTTTCTAAAACCTGTTGGGTTTCTGTAACAACAATGCCTTCTTTGTTTTTCACTCCATAAGGGTTTGGAGTGTAACCTTTTTTGAAAAACCTTACTTTTTTGTAAAAATCTCTTGCATTATTTGCTGTGCTCTCTTCTTCTGCTTTTTCAATCAGACTATTTATGTACCTTCTTTTCTTCTGTCTCAATATTCTGTTTGTTTCTCTACTTATTTCATTGTACTGTTGTTTATCTTCTGTGGACTGGCTGCACAACCATGCCCTTTTCTTCTCCTTTCGCTCTATTACCTTTGTTTCACATTCCTCATCAAACCAGGGTTTTTTGTTGGTTCTTTTCTTTTTCCCACACACTTCTTTCGCTGTTTTTATTATGCTTTCCTTAAACACACTCCAGTTTTTATTTACATCCTCTTCTACTTGGAGGTTTTGTAAAGCTTGGAATCTGTTTTCTAGTTTCAGCTTGAATTCTCTTGTTACCTGTTTGTATATCTGTAAGGTATTTAAATGATAAATACCCCCGCCGCAGCAAACCTGCTGACTAAGCAAATTTCCATTTGCCTGATTGAATTTACACTATAATATCTTCTTTAAAATATCACTTTAATTCCCTATTTAAATAGCTTTAGTTTAACAAGTAACGTACTTAGGTTTGCTGCAACAGGGAGGGTAAAAATGTTTTTTTTGTCAAATGTTAATAGTATAATGTATGAAATAAATGCATTATCTAGATTTGATCAAAATATGTTCATAAACAAGCAAACTAAAACAGTTTACTTATTCTCCATTTGAATAACATGGGAATTTTAAATTTACAATATATTGTAATTTTCTCCATAATTATTAGGCGCATAACAACTAATTGTATGTTTTTCCAGTGCCTACTGCGGAGGGCTGTGGTTGGCCAGTCTGTATTGTGTCTCAAAGATGGCGGAGGTTCTCGACTGTCCAGACGTGGCTGAGAAATACTCAACACTTCTCACAAAAGCAAATGAATCTTTCCACAAGAAGTTGTGGAATGGTGAGTATCTTTCCTGTGTTGCTTAAACGGTAGCCAAAAAATGCCAAAGTTAAGCTACTCTATGACTTTTGCTAGTATGAAATCGCTAATCAAACATTTTTGGGAGTATACCTCAACAAAAACATTTGAAAATGCCTTAGCATAAGCTTCAACTCGGGAGTAAAGTTTAACCTACTCTGCTTGGGCGACAGGTTTAGCGATATTATCTTTGCAGTTGATTGTTAGGTCTTATCAATAGTCAAGTCGTCTACAGCAGTGGCGTAAATAAGGGGGGTGATCAGGGTGATCAATCACCCCCCAAAGACTAATAAAAAATAAAAAAAATACAAACTAAAAATAAATATCATTTAAATGTTTTTGAATAATGTACTGCTGTTTCAACAAATTACCGTTAAGCGTGTATATGCTAAGAAAATTATTAACTAAAACTTAACAATTTTAAATTTAAATTAACAAAAGGAAAGGAAGTAGCAATAGCTACAAGTTGTGCGCTTGCGTTCTAGTTAGTCCTGGATTGCCTATGCCGTTGGACTCACACATAAACACTTCCCGATCGTAACACCCCCACCACCGCGCCGTACCGATGGCGTAGACGCGCAGTGCGCTGTTGACGGGTGGGGGAGGGTTGAGGAGGAGGAGGGGCACGTGTTTCTAAAAATAACTCACCCCACCCCACCCTGACACCCACGGGCCACGACTCCGTAGTCGTAGTCCGTTAACTCCGTTCCACTAATCAGTGTGTTATTGAGCTGTTATTTAGTAGTCGATTTTTCAGTATTTTTAGCGATTGTGCATTAGTTCTGGTTCTGTGTATTAAGATGTTTAAGTGAAGTGAATCAATTAGCCTATCTGTATTTGTTTAAACCACAATATGTCGGCCAAAAAAAAGGGCCAGTGTCTAATAACGGACCTATTCAAAACCAGAAAATTGGACGACTGTTCCCCTCCTGAACCTCTTAATTCGGTCCAACCTCAACTGTCGTCAATAAGTTCATCACCCTCAGTTTAACTAGACTGGTTTTTACCTCAGACCTCAGGCACTGAAACTGAGCACAAAACATTTAACCAAATTAATTTAAAAATCAATAATAAAAAAGTTAATTTTTGCGGTCGAATGGCGAGTATCTTAAGTCAATGGTACAGGTCGCCGGGTGCCATTTTACCGACAGCTAAATGGCAAACTGTACTCGCCGAAAAATGGGGGAAAATTTCAAAGTGTATTTCAAGTTTTGAATTCAAGAGTGTATATTTTAAAATTGTTAATCAATTAATTAGCCTATGTGTATTTGTTTTAATCTTGCTGAACAATATGTTGGTCAAAAGAAAGGACCAGTTTTTAATATTGGACATGTTTAAAACCAGGAAATTAGATGACTGTTCTGTTCTCCTCCTGTACATGCAAATGAGCATGTTAATTCTGTTCAACTGTCTTTGGTAAGTTCATATGAACCTCAGAAGAGACAGCCTCAATTGGGTTGATTTTTGGAGTAATTTTGAACATGATTTCACCTCTGGAATGCTTAAAAAGGCGAGTTTGGAGTTTTAATTTTTCAAAATTTTCCGGGGGAGGACCCCCGTGCCCCCCACTTTGCTGGGGGGTATTCCATACCCCCCAGACCCCCCGGTACACACGATGAGTGCAAGCTTGGTGCTCATCCATCCCCCCCCAAAGCCATGTTCTATTTACGCCACTGGTCTACAGCAGTGTCACAGTTCAGAAGACATCACTGGAGATCTCAATTTTAAATCTCGTCCCAGTCAGGTATGGTGTGCAATCACTAGGAGTTCACCCGTCTGTAACAATTGATGGGATGGGTGGATTTGTACACCCCTGATTTTGCATTTTATTACTTTATATCCATCCTTACACTATTAATTGGTTAAGTTAAGCTGAAATAAACAAAACAGATTACAGTGATACAAACAAATAATCACACCTGATTTTAATAAGGTAATAAATTGAAAGAGTAAAATACAAATAAGTACAGCTTATATATTTTTAACATTAGGTACATGGAAAGTTCCCTTTGGAAAGCAATTATGACCTTATAGGGCAATTTATCAGGGGGTTTCTCGTCATCACAAATATTTTAAGTATATGGTTTATGGGTGTGTGACTTGTAGTTTTCTCAAAAGTTCATGGGTACTTTGGGCTTTATATATGGATGTCTACAGGAACATTAGAAAATTATACTTGAATCTATGAATTATTCTTATATAGCTAAAAGTGTTGAAAACATGAAAATGACAGTTATGTTTTTACAGTGTTTGCCCCTAGCAATCAGGAAGTCATCTGTACTGAGAAAAGTTAGTAGATTTTTGATGTTGCGAAATAGACGCTAACTGTCCTTTTTCAGTTTTTAGTTAATTCCCAGCCAAAAAATAGCTGCTAGACTGTAACAAAGCATCACATGTCATCTACTTCATTCTACGCTCCCTTTCCATTTTTATAAGTCTTGTCCCAGTGGAGCGATCAAGAGATGACCATCGCTGTTCCAGACGAGTTCATGTACTAATGTGTCTTGTTTCTGCAGGCCAGTATTACAACTTTGACAGTTCCCAGCTGCCTCATTCCGTCTCCGTCATGGCAGATCAGCTGTGTGGCTTGTGGTATTTACACGCATGCTCAGTCACTGACGAGGTAATTGCATCAAATTCGCAAAATGCAAATACAGTATACTCCAGATTATCCACGAGTGGATTAACCACAATCACAAACAAATATTGTGCATGTTAAATGTACATTTTAGGTTAGGTTTTGCATTTTCCACGATTTTGTTGTACCTGATCACTCACCAATAATCGTGGATAATCGGGAGACTACTGTAAAAGATTTTTTTGCATCACAAAGTAATGTGCGAAACAGTTTAAGGCTAGTGTCCTAAGAGAAGAGGGGTTTTTTAGCTGGTAGTCCGGCACTACTGAGGGGTGAGCCTCTCACATTTTAACCCCCCCCCCCCCCCCCACAAAAAAGCATCTCAACTGCAAATTATCAGTATATTTTAATCCATTCAACAGGGAGATGTTTACCATACAAATTAATTCCACAATTATCTGTCCATTCATAGGCCTACTTTAAGGGAATAACCTTTGCAAAAACACTCTTCTCTTTAAAAATTGGTTTAGTATCTGGAAGTTTGTCAGTGCACAGGAACTGCTTGCTGATGGCTTAGTTTTGGATAATGGTCTTGAACTAGCGTTACTCTAGATTGATTTAGTTTTTCTTTTATTAGTTGGCAGTTTTGCTCATAAGTGCATCAAGTGTAATGTTTGGGTATGATCTTGGTTGGAAATAGATCAAGTATTAATATGTAAGATATTGGGGAGTGATGCTTGGTCTCTAAGCGACACAATGTTATACATACAATGTCATACAATGTTATACAATTAAATACCTTGTTCTATAATGACAAAGAACCACTGTGTCCTAAAGTACAATCGTTTAGTTGTACAGTCAGTGCAACAATAGTTTCCCTTATGCTCCGGAAATTATGAATGTGCAAACAATGTAGTGTGCCAACATCAACCACATCACAGGATTGATAAATCAATTAATAATTCCCCTCGTCTTTGCTACATACTAGGTGTTCCCTCGAGCCAACGTTAGAAGTGCCTTAGACACGATCTACAAGTTGAACGTGCAGAGTTTCTGTGGGGGCAAGATGGGAGCTGTCAATGGAATGCTACCAGAAGGGATGATTGACGATTTCGCAATCCAAAGTGAAGAGGTCTGGACGGGCGTTACATACGGACTGGCATCACTTATGATATTTGAGGTAATTATTTACTCTTGGATGGTCATTAAATAGGTTTTCTGCTTTTATTCCTTTCTATACTGAATCCTCCCTCATATTTGCACTGCTCATCCAAGTCGTCTGTACTTTGTGCAACTCTTAGGATTGATACAGTGGCTAAAATATAGGTTACCTACCTGTTGTCATCGTTAACCAAGTATCTAATAGATAACTAGATTTTTAGAATTATTGCCTTATTCTGAAATGTGGTAGGAGTCTCAAAATCAATCAATGGGTCAATCTCATTGATTAAAAATGGGGCAGTAATATAGTTCAACTACTCTTTTAGTAACAGATAGTGGCTTGATGACGACTAAGGGTATATAACCAAATTTTAACTATCTACTTTTTTAATAATCCTCTTAGTTCCTAATTTTCCTAGTACTAAATTTTTTTTCGGAGCACAGATATTTGCATTTTCAAGACATTTATACGGAATGAATATATTATTTCCAAATAAATCCATAATCCAAGGGAAGAAGAAATACATAAAAATGTGCAGAAGGCAAGAGTTTCAATGTTGTGTGCAATTTCAGTGTTTTGTTTGGGTAAAATTTATGCCATTACACTAAACTTTAAAGATAACCAACCTTAAGGAAGAATCTGATAAACAACTTAACCTAATGTAAACATTACAGGGTATGGTGGAGGAAGGTTTTAACACGGCCAGTGGTATCTACGAGACGGTCTACAACAGAATCGGTCTCGGATTTGAAACTCCGGAAGCGTTGCACCACGGCAACACTTACCGTTCAGTCGGCTACATGCGGCCACTCAGTATATGGTCCATGCAGCTCGCTTGGCAGAGAAGGCAAGCGTCGTCTGCGAAGTAAAATAATCATCTGGTAGACACAAGCACAGAAAACATACTACTATAACCCAGAATGCCAACGGCATGGTAAAAAGCGTTAAGTACTTTGAGAGAGCTTTGCCTGTCAATTCGTAGGCAGCGCCACTAGCGTTGCCATGCACTCAGCATAGCAACGCTAGTGGCGCTGCCTACGAATTGACAGGCAAAGCTCTCTCAAAGTACTTAACGCTTTTTACCATGCCGTTGGCATTCTGGGTTATAGTAGTATGTTTTCTGTGACACAAGTGACGATTGTTTTTCTGAACGGTTGCGCAAGTTGTCGATATTCTCAACCTTTTCGGGTGTAATATTACCAGTGTTCTGGTGCTTTGTATCAATTTTTAGTTCCTTGCTAAAAGTGTATTTCTATGTATAAGGGAGTAAAATGTTTTGCTGAGGAAATCCTGGATGTTCAAACGCATGAGATCTAGAGAAAAAAATAGTAGCAAGTTGTATTGGGGATATTGTATGATAATTTTCTTATTTTCTCTACCGGTGTGTAGGAAAAAATACATTCAAAGTATACCAATAATAAGCAAACGGTTTCAACCTATCATTTTTAAATTTGTGATTGAGGCTTGCTTGAGGATATCCAGGATTTACAGCATTTACAGATTGTTTTGGAGGCTTTAATATCATTGAACGTGTTCACCTAGAAATTCTAAGATAAAGATCTCGTCAAGTGAACTGATATTTATGTGATAACTAATATTCTAGAAACGTTTATTGAGAGTCAAGGATTCTTTGACCAAACCTGCAAATAAAGTGAGATATTGAAGGTTGGAATCCCTACTTTTCTGGACAAAAACTTTTGATAGTATTTTTGATCAGCGTGTAGACAGTTTCCTTACTAAAAACTTTTAAAAAAATTACATAGACCGGGACAAAAATATTGCCTGCCAACTATGTGTTTTGAACTTTATCTTAGAATTGTCAATATAGAGGGTCCATTATTTTACTTACTTGGTTATATTTATGTAAACCAAATATATCCTGTGATGTAGCCTAATTTTAATAGATAAGTTTATAAAAACCAGATAGATATATTAACTTACAGATATTTTTTACTAATAAGAATTAAGTTGGTGCTTCATGCCAAGTGTATACGATAGGTAACCAAAATGATAATAAACCCCCCGATTGTGCTTTAAACATGTTAGGGGTTTTCCCATCTCATTTCTTATGTTTAGCACTTAATTTATAATTAGCCTAACTGTTTTTATAAGAACAAAGATAATGTTTTTTAAGTTCTAACAAAGATTATAACATTCCACATTTTTTATTGGCACCTCATTTTTTAATTATACCTTTGTGATTAATTAATGTTTTACGCAATTAAAAAAGTACACTAAACACATTATAAGCTAATTTATTATATTGGATCTATTATTTTGATATTATCCATGTCATATTTTTCACGTGTCTGTCGTTTACGTGTATTTGTAGTATGTTTGGGAGACATGATTGTATTTTTATTATTGTTAAAGGATAGCGCAGGAAGTGCACTTATATTTAATTAAAAATGTGAGTGGAGAAATCTGGTAAAAAACTGAAATATTATACAAAGGAAATAAATTATTTAAAAAAAATGTTACCATTAATGCACAAAATAGCCTAAGTCATCCAACTAAAAATTTTTCTTTAAAGAGTTCAAACATTATGAGAATTAAACAATCTCTATTGCTTGTTGTTAAATTTTGACAAGTTCTAAAGAATTTGTTGTGAGTTTGTGCATTGTTAAATGTTGGGTGGTTGATTATTTATTTTTTTTTTTTAAGTAAGAACCATTTATTACTAAATAAACGTAGATATGCAATGACAATGGTTATATTCTTTTTGCTTTGAATCTTCAGCTTTAATTTTTGCCAGCAAACATTTTCTTCACTCTTAATCTAATTTTTTTTTCATTTGGTGCTATTTAATTGTTGTAATAAATATTTACCTGTGTTGAAATTTATGTTGTATGAAATAAACAGTCTAAGTATATTTTTGGTTGTTTTTCATCCATCGTGTATCATTTGCTACACTTTCTTAAAAAGTTTGAACACTTCATACTGTTGATCAAACAACAGTATTATTTAAAAAGTTCATTCAAAGAATATTAATTTACAAACCTGATACGTTTCTGAAAAGGTTGAGACGTTTCTTAAAAGGTTAAGAATAATAAGAGACGGATACTTTCATTACAAATAATTTAATGTACAATATATAACAATATTGGAAGAGAAAAGTACTAAATGCTATTTATTTACACAATATACAAGTTCATACTGACTTCGGAAATAAAAACCAAGAGTTAAATTAGAATATAAAATTGAGATTTTTGAGCCATGATTAGTGTAACGAATTACAAAATAGTAAGGCCCACCAACGTTCTGATTCATCAAAACTAAGTGTTAAGTACCAATACACAAAAATATTTAGGTTAAATTTTCTACTACAAAATAATTTAGTAAAAATAGATCCAGGCTACAAATTAGTTAAAACCAATTTGTTGCCTATGTCTAGGTAAACTAATAAAGATTAACTTTTTTTAAATTTTTCAGGTGTTACAATTATTTTAAAACGTCTTAAGCAAAGTATGAAATATTCTTTTTCTTTAAACTTATGGATAATTTTAATTTATATTAGTTAGATTATGTATGGATATTTTCTTGATGGCGTGGTTTAAGAGTGGATAAATTTTTGACTAATTCATCAAAGATCAGCTGTTTAAGGACGTAGCTTTACCAGGAGACTGTCAGCTGATGGTAAGCAGTGACAACATGTACTTCTCCAAGACAGTTTTGGCTGGAAAAGAAAATTTGATTGAAAAAATGCGAAATGAACCATAAAAGAAATATAACTGGATTTTTTTATGTGCTCTCAAAACTAAAATCCCCGCCGCAACAAACATGCAGACTAAGCGAATTCCCATTTACCTGGCTGGATTTCTACTAAAATATTCCCTTAAAATTGTCAGAGGGACAATTCGCTGCCGCTCGAGGCGCTGGCCACACCAAAGTGAATTTCGCTTACGTTACTCCTGTTTGCTCTGGCGTAAACGTACCTTAAAGGGCCTTGCACTCAGTAGCAGTCTAGTTCACTGAGGTAGGAGGTGTCAGTTGTCCTGGGCAGGGTACCCAATGCCCATGCGAGGTTTGGCGAGTCCTTATTACTCTGTAGGTAATCCCTTTTTGGAGTGTTTGTACGAGAAAGGTGTTTAGTATGTAGAATCTGATAAAGAAGATTTCAATTGGTTTTGATAATACCATGTGAGAGGATGGGGATGTGGGGATATCTTTTGGGGATATTCAAGTTGGAGTCTGAGATGCCTTCAGAATGCATCCATTAGCCATACTTGAATTGAGCCTTGAGGCACTAGATGTATTGGATATTGATAGGGTAAAAGGATTCAGATTACTGAGACGAGCATTGTAGTATTATTTAACAGTTTCAACTCCTGTTTAACATATCTAATGTATGTATAAAGAGTTTTGTTAATGCTACACCATGTGCAAGTTATCCTATCCTATGCATCATAAAAGTGTGACACTTCATAGGCTCTTAACTTGACTGGTAGTAAGGCAAGCATGTTTGCCACCAATACCGTCACGAACATGTTTGCCCGTGTATGGGGGGCTTTAGCTAGTGAGATACTCCAGTTGTAGAAAGAACATCCAGATTAGTTTTTTTAGAAGTGTAAGAAGGGATTTGATACAGACTATCTGTCTTGCATCTTATCTCCTAAGGTCCATGGAGAAAACAGTACGTAATAGTATATTTCGTACCTAGGGCCGAAAATGAGGTTTTGCCGGCTCGAGATAGTTTTTAAGTTCGAGACGAAGTCGAGAACTTAAATCGATCGAGAGCTGCAAAACCATTTTGGTCCGTGGTACGAACGCTATTTTTCACCACACTATACCCTATTACCACTATTCACCACTAATGCACACTGATCGTCAACACAACTACAACTTTAAGGTTATGTGAAGAAATAATTTTAGGAATCAGCAAAAATAAAAATAAATAGTTGCTAGGCAACGGTGACAATAATCCAATTTAATATTGCATTGCTATGGATTTTGATTGTGTATTTAAAACGCATTCATGTTTTAAGTAAGTAAGCGGACAGCTGATTTTGCGGCCCCGACCTGTAAAAACCTGCTCGATCCCCAAATTACGATGACAGCTGGCATGGCCAGCAAAACGTAACTTTCAGCCACCAATTAACGTATGTAATACAGCCAAAAACATCAAAGTGTGGTGAAAAGTCTATAAAGAAATAGCCTTTAAATTAAAGCTCTTATTATTTGAATAAATATTATTTGAAATAACTAGGTTTTTACATATGTAAATTTGAACTAATGTTAACTTACATCTGAGAGACTGGTGGTCTATCGCTATGTCATAGGCTGTACAGTCATTGTTGTTTTTGACAGTCAGGTTGGCACCACTGGACAACAGTTCACTAACAGTATGAGGATGGTCTCCTTGTGTAGCACACATCAATGCTGTCTCTCCACTCTGTGACACAGTGAAACACTGATTATATTATCAACACACTACCAAGTCATAGGCTGTGCAGTCTATTGTTGTTTATGATAGTCAGGTTGGCACCACTGGACAACAGTTCACTGACAGTATGAGGATGGTCTCCTTGTGTAGCACACATCAATGCTGTCTCTCCACTCTGTGACACAGTGAAACACTGATTATATTATCAACACACTACCAAGTCATAGGCTGTGCAGTCTATTGTTGTTTATGACAGTCAGGTTGGCACCACTGGACAACAGTTCACTGACAGTATGAGGATGGTCTCCTTGTGTAGCACACATCAATGCTGTCTCTCCACTCTGTGACACAGTGAAACACTGATTATATTATCAACACACTACCAAGTCATAGGCTGTGCAGTCTATTGTTGTTTATGACAGTCAGGTTGGCACCACTGGACAACAGTTCACTGACAGTATGAGGATGGTCTCCTTGTGTAGCACACATCAATGCTGTCTCTCCACTCTGTGACACAGTGAAACACTGATTATTATATTGGTGGAATGGTCTGTCCGCGTAAGAAACAGCCTTAGAATTGAGGAGCAAATCTCTGTAGAGCCAGGTGAAAATCTATATGGCTGCAAGGTGCTTCAAGTGTTGGGAGATTTAATAATTCAGTGGAATCCCATTTTGCTTCCACTGTACAGGAAAGCACAGTAAAAAAAGATTTGCAGCATAAGGGTAGGAAGAAACAAACATCCAGCATGAAAGAGAAGGAAAAAAAAACAATCATGACGTTGGATCAAGGAAGTGTCCTGCCTAGGAGAAGGCACATGTAAAAATTGGCACATTAATTTTCCTGAGGATTTTATTTTCAAAGACAAATAATTTCCCCCTTTTAATCTGATGGACAATATATTTCATAAACCATAAACGATATATTTCCAATATATTTCCATAAACGATAGAATTTTTCAATCAACAATGATCAAATACAGACATTTAAATACTAAAACTGGGTGCAACAAACATGAGAATAATTAATTGTCCACAATCAATCAAAGCCGTACTCACATGATCCTGATGGTTGACGTCTGCCCCAGCAGACACTAGCAGTCTCACGATCTCCAGGTGTCCCTGGCCAGCTGCTAACATGAGAGCAGTCTCACCCCACATACCCGCCCAGTCTACCTCCAGCCGCCCATCGTCCACCCGCAGCAGCGCACTGACTGTGTGGATCTGTCCGTGGTAAGCCGCCCACATCAGGGCGCTCAGACCCTCGTCATCCACAGCATTCAAGTCCTTGCCTGGAAAACAGAAACGTGTACTACTACTTCAGTCGAAAAGTTCCCGAAATGAATTTCTGTAGACGTTTAGCGTGATCGTTGGTACGACTCCTGGGGAGGGCATTTCGGTAGTGGGGGTATAGCTGATGAGCCGTAGTCTAGCATTGTAAAGCGCTTTTTGTGTACCTGCAAGTCTACATTGTCAGTTACTGTCTGTTGTGTACCTGCATTGAAAAATGGCACTTCACGAACAGCGTGCGAACATTAAGTTCTGTGTTTTACTATAAAAGTGAGACTCTTGAGTTGTTAATTCAAGCATGTGGAGAAGAGGCGATGAAGAAAAGTCAAGTTTATGAGAGGCACAAACGGTTTGTGAAGGCCATGAAAGCATTGACGAAGACCCTCGTAGTGGACGACCTTCAACAGCAGTCAATGACGTTAACATTGAGTGAGTACAATTTGTTAATTTCTGACTTCTACGCAAAACTTGTCGTACTCGCTCAATGATCAGTGATTTGGAAGCTTAACTCAAACAAAATTAAATTACAAACAAACTACACCAACTAAAAATATAAAAAAATATATGATTTTGACAATTTTACTCTTCAGCTACATAATCCACTGTTTTTCAATTGACAAAAAAAGTAGCAACTGACGAACTTTTTCGTGTCATATTTAAAAAAATCTCATATAAAATGGAACCAACATTTTATTCTCAATTACGTAGTGTCAGATTATCAAGTGCCAACAGTACGTTGAAACATAATTGTATTTACCAATTTTAAAGCAAAGCACTGCTAAAAGAATAGAAACTCTCACTGAAAACCACTTGTTTAAAATAATGGAATAGTCACTTTTTTCAAACACACCTTGAGCCACCATTTCTTGGAGCTGTTCCTCCGTGATGTCTCCCCTGCCTGCCAGTGTGAACCAGGAAAGATCAGAAATGGCGGGGGTAGTCTCTGCCTGTATGTTGCCCCGCTGCAGGTTGGTCATCACTGTAGTACTGGCTGGGCGGGGCACAGTCACCTCTCTCTGAGCGGGGCTTGGCTACACAAACACACAATTATGTGTTAGATATTTAACCTAAACCTTAGCAGATGGGAAAATAACATCCTTAATTGGTATGTAATGATACTTACGGTACCAGCCCATCACTCATTTTGCTTATTAGCCTATCACACAAAAGTTTTCTTCTTTACTCTGCATTGTTGAGTACTTTCTTGTCTTCAGGATGGAATTAAAATTTCTTAAGACAATTAAACTAAACCACCGATAGTTAGTCATGGGTAAAAATTTGTTAATTTTTGATTATTTACTGTCAAATCTTGAAGCTAAAGCGAGTCAAGCAGCAGAAGAAATAAGATCCAAGTTAATGTACGCTATGGCTAACCTTGTAGGGTTGAAATGCACTTCTTCGAGGGCCATTCTTCCACAAACTCGGCCAAGGTAATGGGCTAGCGTCTGATGAGCTGGGTTCACCATTGTTTGAGCTGATTGGTTCACTTTTATCCATGATTTTTATTTTTGAAGCTTGATTTTTGTCTTGTTTCTTACATCAGATTTATTAACTGCTTGGTCACTGCTAAAAATGAAAACAAAAAAATGAATACGATTCACAGATAATAGCCTAAAAATAAAGCTTTGTTATGTCACTGTTTAGCAAAAAATTGATATCCCAATTACCAATCACTTAAGAAACTTGGTCTCTGAGAGATGACTACGTCGTTGAATTGAAAAGATAGTGGCTGACGTTTTGGATTTAATAAATTAATGTATTTTCATGTATAACACACTGTAAGGCTACAACTACAAATACAAGGAACCTTAATAACCTTGAATACAAATGACTATTCTTAAGGTTTATATTGCATACGCTACAATGACTTAAATATTTTGTAGAATGGCATTTTGAAAAAGGAATGTTAACTATTTCTAGTGAGTAACCATTGGCATTTTAAACTAGTTGACTGTAACCTTGTGCTGTAGCTGAAGGGGTTAGGGATGGGGATACTTAATACTATTCAGTGAAACATTGTGATCTTAACAGATTATTCCTGAGTTATAGCACCTACTGCATTAATCTATAAATAAAATTATTAGAGTTTTGTCTGTACATTGCTCAGAATTATATATTTTTTGGTTATTTTTACGTTTTATACATTAAAGAATCCGAAACAAGTCTTATCTCAATTTATGTCTGTCTGTCACGGCCTAGAAGGCATTTTACACGGCCTTCTCCTGAAAAAACAAGAGCATCGATCGGGATTCAAATAGTCTTCTTTAGAAATTAAAATATGACCTCACTACTTTAGAAATAAAATAACTAACGTTCAAAAACCCAATTTTGTGCGATTTTTGTCAAGTTTTCTCTTATGTTTGCCACATACGTAATCTATGTAATACTCATCTGCTTGGAGAATACGACATCTATAAAGTAACGAACTGGATTATTTTTTATATCTGTCACTGATATGTTTACATTAAATGTTGTTTACAAAATACTACAACCATTTCCGATCTTGTTTTGTAAGAAAATCCAAAACCAAGTGAGATTAAAAACGTTGTGCCTTACATAACGGATTTTATTAATCGCAAGTGCAATAATGTAATATGCAGCTGTAAATGGAATGAAATTTCTAGAGGTCGCTAATCGGAGATTCTGTGTGTGTGTGTATCAAATTGTACTTGAGTTTTGATAACCAGGAAACAGACCCTGAAACAGTGCTGTATACGGAGTTTTGCCTGCATATCTGGGAAAATGCACACTAAATAAGAAAACCAAAAATGCTGTTCTGATGATATAAGAAGATTTCAACTGACAACATGATCCCGTCCATAGAACGGGTACACAGTTAGTATATACAAACCATTTTACACTTACCCATTTTTTATATCCTTGAAAGTGGTAGACGATTCCATAAATTGCCAGCATAAGACGTCTTAAAATAAACTAAACACATTAAGTAAAATTGGTTGGTGATTGAGATTTCTACAAAATAATCTGAAAACAAACAAAAAATGCCTTAGAAAACAGAAATATGTTAATTGATGTGGTTGACAAAGGATAAATTGTAATAAAATGTAATTGTTGCTAAAAATACTAATAAACATCAACCATTCACTATCCACAATGCAGTTTAGGTCATTAATTTTAGATAGGGTACCTAAAGAGGTGATTTAATTTTTTGATTAGCCTAACATTTCTTTTACCTAAAAATGATAAATAAAAATAGTGTCAACAGTTTCAATCCCCTTTTACTTTTAATTCCCCAAAAGGAACAAGGTCAAAAGCTAGTGAACACAAATCAATTTGATTTGAACGATTTTCTTTATTCTGGAAATAAGCTATTATATACAGGAAAAAGAACAACAGAAATTGTTCGTTTTTAATTGAAAGATGGACAATTTTAGAGACTACTAGGAACACAAACTACTGCATAACCTTAATAGTTCATAGACTTAATATATAGTTAAATGCATATTCTGTAGTTTTGAAACTTTGTCTGGATTCATACAAGGTCTACACTAAGTATCTATATTTATGAAGATTACATGCTAAGGCTTACTTGACATGGTTAATTGTTGAACATTTTTCTTGGACTCTTGATTTTTCTTAAGCCCTCTATTACACTTTCTTGTAAATCATGGCTAGGAATCGCTTTTGCAGATGGCCTTTTACGGCTTTTTCTTTGAGTTTTCACTCCTTCCATTTTAGCTTTCACATCATGTAAAGCATTTTCAATTTCCTTGAGTTGTTGTTTATTAGAGACACTATCGAGCATACTCATGAACATGTGTTCCACGTTCAATTTCATGGAGTCCAAACTTGGTTCTGTATTTAGCTGTGTTTCTTGAACATCACTTTCCACTTCTACTTGACATTCACCCACTTGTTCCTGCTGATATGTATAGACGACTCCACTCTCGTTTTCATAAACTAATAATGAGTCATCAATAACCTGGCAGTAAATGTAATCTTCTTGTCCATCTTCTTGTAATCCTGTTTCTTGTAATCCTGTTTCTTCTAATCCTGTTTCTTCTACTACTGTTTCTTGCAATCTCGTTTCATGTAATATGTCTTGCTGTGTTATCTTCTTGTCTTTTTTTAAAGTCTTTATATTTCTAGACTTTACTACCGGTACATATTTAGTTTCTACATCGGACTCTTCACTATCGCTCACGGATAGTTCAATTTTACCTGTTGTTAGATGCATACATAGGCCATGAATATGTCGACACATGTTTAACCTTACGCTTGAGTCGGCACAAGAACACATGTACACGTGAGAACAAACTCCGCAGGCATTACATTTCTGTACACATTTGCAGTCTTTGTCTCTGAATCGGATTTTTGTCTTTTCTTTCTTTCCAGACAAGGTGTCAACGATCCAGTGACTTTCCTTTTGTATTATGCTGAAATTCTGTTTCTGAGCGTAATCATGTTTGTGAGCCAAAGCGTTCAGTTTTGATTTTCCACCACTCATTAACAGTAAACGGTCGTACACTTTACTCCTCGTCAACTCCAAGATGTTGTTTAAAGCTCTATCGAGTCTCCCTGTAGTTTTGTCTCGCAAAACATTTTTAAAGGTCTCATGCATAATCTCCATTTCATAGTCGAATTTAAAATTTTCCTCAAAGCAAAAACATGGTGCCCAAGAATTTATATTTTGAAAATAGTCTCCAGATAAGTACAGAGCAAATTGCACCGTTTCTACATCAACTATTAGTTCGGACACCAACTTATTGGACTCTTGTTTGAATATTTCCTTTTCTTCTTCATTTAGAAGAGATTTCAGCTGTTTAAGTATAACTGATTGTTTATTTTTATTTTTCACCAGGTCATTCAGTTTTGTTTTCCATTCTTTGAATATCTCCCATGAGCTAATTACAGTTTTTTCTGGTCGCTCGATAACTTGATTCCATGTATCAGTAATGAATTGGTCCTTGCCAGCCATGAGTATTTGAACCTTCACGTTTCCTATTTCAGACTTTATCTCACTAAAACAGACCTCCACTACCGCTTGGTCTACCCTGTCAGTGAAAACAGACGCACAAGGGAAACTATGCCCTAAATTATCAATTATGATAACAGTTAGTACTTCGTAATAGCCACCGCTTTGTTTATCGATGCAGACAAGATTTTCACCGTGTTTTTTCAACAGATCTACTTGTGGTTTTGTCTGCAAGAATAAGACAAAACCTTCAGCTCGTAATTGAGGATACTTGGAAGATAAACTCATTCTTGACTTATAAAATTTCACATTATCTTTGTTTTTCCTCTCCTCTACCCAAATATCTAAAGGCATTTCTGGATGCGTTTTTCTGTATTTGGGTTTTGTCTCACTTTTTGAATCACTAGAAGACATTTTTAACAGCAAAAGTTGTTTATACAGTATATCCACAAAATTTGTTTTAGTTGATGTATTAAGTTAGACTATCACATTATCATATTCAAACAGATAATCTTGAATTAATTTAGTTTTCTTGGACATGATGGACAAAAGAAATTCCTTTTGAAAATTTATCTTACTGGTTTCTTATAATTGATAAATTCAATGACTTTTCAAACCAATATATGTTATCATTCCCAGAAAGCAACCTGCAACAAAATATTTATTTAAAATTAGAAGTGTTGCTATTAAAAGTGTTAAAAGGATCATGTAAAATCATTCAAAATCATTTATATGGACAGCGTTATTAATCTAAGTTACATATTATTTATATCATAAATTTAAGTTTTTTTTACTGTGTCTAATAGGCAAAGTTTAACTCAGTTTTCAAAATAAATAATTAGTGTTTACAACAGAAATTTTGTTTCCCACCAGAAGTCGGTAAAGATCAAAAGGTGTTCAAAACATGGGGAAACATTTGCTTTGGAACAAATGGTTCTGTACTTCTACCCGGTTTACAACAATTCCCCACGCGCCTACCCACCACCACGAGACTACGAGCCGCGCCCTCGGCACCAGTCCGTCTCCCGCTCTGATTAAATTGTTTTGAACAAAATCAAAGAAAAGTGAACTATCTGTTGTAAACTTAGTTTTCTTTGGTTTTAGAAACAAGTGTTACCAACAAAAGGTTCCAAACTACAGTGTTTTGTAAACGTTGCTCAAGTATGATAAATCTACTGAGCATGCTTTATCATGATAAGATGAGGAGAAAACAGCTAAAAGGTCTTTGCGGGCAAATCAAGATTAAAACAAAAGTAAGTAAAGCCTTTATAGCAGGAGTTTTAGAATTACCAAGAATCTTAAACCAGCCACCTGACTTGCACTATTGCATCGTGGTATTACCTTAACTTACTTATGTTATTGTTTTTAACATCGCCATTGTTGTTAACACCTGTTCTCAGCTAGTGTTAGAAAATCTCTCCTTTCCAAATTTGAAGATGAGCAAAATTTACATTTTTAAAATTAATAAAGGCTATTTATTATAAATATTACAAGACAAATAAATCTAAATTACAAATATTACTAAAAATTTTGATTCTTTCAATAGCCTATATACGTTGGATGCCTGCTCCATCTTCAAATTCTCGAGCAGATCTCCATTTTTTTCTAGATCTTCTCAGACACATGCTTGTTGCCCTTAAAATTGAGCAAGTCAGTCTCGTTCTTATCCAATTAACTACTAGGCTGTAAGGCTTAACCCATTTTTCTGACAATCTTTCAGCTAATGCTCTTATTAGTGTTTGAAAATCATTGCCTAGGATTCCGCAAACTGATGTTATCAAAGGAGTGAAAGAGGCATTTTGGTTCTCACAAGCTGACATAGGTATACTTTCTTTTCTTTACTTCGTCTGCATTTTTTATGACATTGTCATGATTTTTGGATACATATGAGGGAGCATCGGTGTCTACGACACGGATCAAATAATGCTTCGCTCTGTGTCTCCCACACCCCTCTCTATGCCAAGTCAGCTTTAATTGCAGGCCCGTTTGGGTTTCCATTCTCTGCTATAAGGGGCTCTTTGACACAATTCCCCCATGCCTGTTCCATAATGTTTCCTAAAGTATCTCTAATTTCATTATGTCGTTTTATAATTAGTCCACCTACAGGACATATAAGGGCATGGTCTGTATTTACAGCTCTACTCAGTATGTTACGATATTAACCACTCCCACTAAGACGAACATCTGGTTCCCACATGTGTAGGCTAGTTCTTGTAGGTAAGATGTTTGTGACATCCTATGCATTTATCATCATGGTCATCATATCAACCCAATCAATGGTAGCCTAACACCTTTAAATAAATTAGAAGACAAAATCCACCTCACACAATAACTTTCCCGGTTCCTTTACAATTCTGAACAAAACCCACTCAAAACTATTACTAGCAAACGTACAGGAAAGCTACCAAATATACAAACATAAAGGATTGAACACTCCTTTAAACAAAAATAAGACTACCTTTTTCAAATTAATTAAACTAGTCGACCCGTGCAAAGCATTCGCGCTGAATCCTTCTAAAATCCCACTTATTGAGGTACAAAACTTTATAGGCCTTCAGTTAATTCTGTTTAGTAAGTGCATTGTTGATTGTATGGGTCTTTATTTCAGGAATAAATGTAGGTCTACATTTTAGATGATTAAACTTTTCAAAATAAAAATGTTAAGTTTTTTACGTAAAAACGCTTAAAAAAACGCATGTTTTTATGTAAACATGTAAAAACATGTTCACATGACCTAACTTACCCTACTTGAACTCTATGTTATTAGAAGTAATAATATGGCCATTTAAAAGATTTTTGTTCTAGGAACTGTTTTATTTTTAAACAGACATATTTTCACTGAAAAAGCCTTTGACAAAGCCACAAAAACTGAATGTTTAAAAAAAACAGGGTCTGGTACGTGCAATCCTTCCTTTGTTAGCGTCTGTTCATTTGGCCTTATTTAAAATCGTGGAAAAGGTAATTTTTTAGGGAAATACCTTCTTAGTCAGTGTGAAAGGACTAAGGACTATTGCGTAGTATGACAGTTTGACTGGAGTCAGCCAACTTCGCTTTGATAGTGTATGTGCCCAATTGAGCTACAATCAATCTTGGATAATTAATGCTTAGGTTTCTCAACATAGGGTTCTTTTTAGCATGGGTTTATGAGGTAACTAACACAAATGGCTCAGGAAAACTCAAATATGCATACAACAGAGCATCCTACGTCCCTTGGTAAAGAACTGATAAACCGTTTCCTGTCAGTAACAAAATCAACACAACTCAACAAATTTTTGAAACCAGTGGTAAAGAAAATATTAGAGGTGATATTTGAAGATGAAATTCTGAAATATAGCCTATAGAACGGTTGGTAGGTAGGCCTATGTCAAAATTAAGGCCATGTCGTAAATAAATAAACTTATACCAGGCTAAAAGCTAAAAATCCGGATGCGGTAGGTACTTAACTTAGGCCTATTATTGACTTGTTCATGTTTACTTCTTTAAAAAGTGAACTGATTTCATCTACGGAGTTGTTTATCGGAGAAAGCACAGATGAAGTATGTTGGTCACCATTGATTTAGTAGTAAAAACAAATTAATCAGATTTGAGTAGTAAACATTTGTTTGTTTTGATTAATTAAATTCACACGTTTCAGCTGATCCAATAACGCAAATAAACATTTCAAGTCTAAATTGGGTAAACTTTCATAAGCAGGACTCCAAAAAACCGAATGAAAATATCGTAATACATCAAACTTAAAACTACGGTATTGATAATATTCTATATTTATAAGATAGATTATTTCAATCGGTTAGGTAGGTTAGATTAACCCAAAGATTAACCTACCTAACTAACCAAACTTGATAACTTAGATCAAATAAAATGATCAATAAAAATGTCAAAAATTTGATATTTTCATTCGGTATTTTGGAATCCTGCTTATGAAAGCCTAAGTTACCCCTTCTCTTGTCTAAAATATTTATCTTTGACTTTTAACACCACATTTCAACAAACGTTTACCGGTATGGTTATTGGTTAGTTTCCAGAACTCACCTAAAAGGTCCTACAAGACATTTTTAAACTGTTCCTAGACACCAACACTACAACTTTCTCAAATGACTTTTTGGTCGGAGTCACTTCCTGTAGACACCACGCCTAGATTACTAAACACCACCCCTGAAAAACTCGCTTTGAAAACATTTTTACATGGCAGTTTACTATACTAGACACCTCATCAAGATTACTATACACCACAACCAGATTACTAGATACCATTACCAAGATTACTAGAATCCAAAGTTGTTGTGATGGTGTCTAGGAACAGTTTAAACACGTCTTAAGTTAGGACGTTTGACAATTCCCTGGTCTTCAAGACTACGGAGAAGAGGAACCTGTATGTATGTATGTATGTATGTATGTATGTATGTATGTATGTATGTATGTATGTATGTAAGAACGTTTTAGGTGAGTTAGCCTAGTTGGCTTAAGTTAAGTACCGGTAAAACACGTCTTATAGAATGTTTTAGATGAGTTAGTTGGCTTAAATTAAGATAGGCCTAGGCCTACCGGTAACCTAACTTAACTACAGTAATTCTAGCCTAACCTAATTTTCCAAAGTAAGTTACGTAGGCCAATCATCAAGAGGTTTTTTTTTGTTCTTAAAATGCTTTTTTTACTTCCTAAACAAGATTGGTTGGAGGACCTACTCTATGCACCTATTTAAACTACGATAATAACATTTAAAATTAAAAACAGATTGAGGACACACAGATTAACTTAGGCCTAGGCTACTGATTTAGTCTTACCAGTCAATTAACTTGACGACTGTAATAGCCTAGATGATTGACTACTAATTTTTATACAATGACTTTTGCTTTTATAAAACTGAGCTAACTTAATATCTTGACAGAGACAAAAGCAACTTCAATAGGGAATAGGCCTAACAGTAACCTAAAACATTCTGTTTCCTTTCTTCATTCTCATTCCATTAGTTTTCCTTTCCTACTAACTAGCGTCTAGATAGTCAGACTGGACTGACTCAGAGCAACGAGTCGGCTCACCGGAGCAACAGTCGTGGTGGGGAGCGGGGAGGAACGATGACGTCATTACTTAATTCAAACCTTCACCGTGGGTAGCGCTCTTAGCAGTTAAGCTGTCAGCTGTTTGGTAGCTAGCCCTGTAGTGAGTCATCCGAATGTGGTAAACCAAATGAAAATGGCAAATAAATTTTTAGCTATTGGTTGGAATAAACGTTAAACTGAAAAGATTAAAGTTGTTCGAAGAATGATTGTTGATGTTATCTTATAATAAGGAATCGTAATTATAGAAATAACAACATATTATAGCTGTAGAATAAAGTTATTGGCAGGCTATTTTTGAATAATTATACTAGCGTCTAAATTCTCAGATTTATCTTACGATTAACATATTTTTAGTAATTGAAGTTATTATTAACTCATGATAAACCCTTCATAGGTTTATTCTCTGGTTTATGCAAAAGCTGTTGATTCAAAATAAAAAATTGATTTAAGATTATTGGATAATCAAAATAGATTCATGAAATCTGGAACTGCTCAAATTGTGTAGTAAGTCCAAGATAAGTCCAAGGACAGGTTAATGTTGAAATGAATTCTATGATATCTGTAGGCCAACTGATTTACCAACCGAGAGCCAAGTTTAGTTTCACATCACCTTTTATAACATAGGACATAGGTACAGATTACAGCTATCCTATATTGACCATGATGAGCTCATGCCTCCTTCAGAAAATAAAGTTTTAATCCATAAATATAATTAAATCATAGAAGATACCAAACCAATTAATTCTTTTAGAATGATAGAGAATTCAGTAAAGCGTAAAACTGAAAGTAAGTGATGAAGTCATCGTTCCCGCTAAAGAGCGCTAACCACGGTGAAGGTTTGACGTCGTCGTTCCTCCCAGCTCCCCACCACGGCTGTTGTTTCGGTGAGCCGACTCGTTGCTCTGAGTATCTAGACGCTAGTTTCCGTTCCTTCCTTGATCGTTTTCTTATTTCTTTTTTCTTTAGATCTTCTTTTTTTAAATATGGTCGAGTGTTACCCTAGGTAAATTAACGATCGTTTCACCTCCGTCCTCCTCCTCCACCGAGTCACCGACCGCCGGACCGCGCAGTTAAAAGAGTCCTACGTCCTACTTCCTACATTATAAACATAAACAATACAATTTTTTCCCTTTTTTTCTTCTAGTCCGCTTAGCAGGCTTTATTCCCTTTTATGGAACTGCAACTAGAAAAGAACAAGGAGGAACTGCAACTGTTACATGAATTTAGGTTTGGGATTTTATAAAATTAAATCATAACCTAACCAAACCAACAAAACTTGCTGATAATGAACAAATCTAATGAAGGTTTACTAATCGAAAACAAATTCTGTTCATAAAATAAAACTAGAAATGGCACAAATTTCATTTGATAATGTTTTAATAAATTAAACTGTCATAACCTAACCAAACTTGCTGATAATGAAAAAAAATCTTAGACAAAAGTACAGGCCTAATTGGTTTTTTATTATTGGTATTATTATTATTGATAAATCATAGAAATCATTATTCGGTAGACAAAGATATTAGTGTCATAGCGAGAAGTACCTCATCGATATCAGCTTACATCGCGCATGAATACGTAGGGTTGAGCGTTTAGCATGTATGTATTTTTCTAGATTCGTGTCATGTAGGCGGCCGTACGACGGCGCTGAAGGGCCACCAACTATAAAAAAAATATTTTTCTTAATCTCTGAGAAAAAACTTAGAATTCTGAGTTTAAAGTCAGAATATAACAAGTGGGCGTTCCACTCTGAGATTAAAGTCAGAATTCAACTAGTGGGCGTTCTCCTCTGAGATTAAAGTCAGAATTTAACAAGTGGGCGTTCCTCTCGGTGAAAGGAGTTATAATTCTGAGATTAAAGTCAGAATTGAATTGTGGGCGTTCATCTCTGAGATTAACGTAAGAATGCGGCCACCAATGCGGCCGTGCTACTATACTCTACTGTACTCTTCTCACGGCCTCCTTTAACTCCAGGGGCCCATTTCATAATAAACTACAAGTTACAAGTTACAACTTGTAACTTGTAATTTCCATTAGATTTGCATTGGGCGATCAGCTGATTTACTAATAATATTAGTTTGTACTTTATTATGTAATGGGCCCCAGGCCGCGGCCTGGTAGAATTGGCAACGTTGCAAGTAGAAGAACACAGTAGAATAGACAACAGAAATGATATTTATATTATTTCTTTTGTCTAAGATAGTAGGGATGATAGCATCGATATGCTGATAATATCGTTGCAATAAGAGAGGAACGCCAACAGTTCAATTCTGACTTAAGAGTTGAATGCCCACTAGTTATATTCTGACTTTTTTCCCAGAGAGGAAGAACGCCCACAATTCAATTCTGACTTTAATCTCAGACTTCTAACTCCTTTCACAGAGAGGAATGCCCACTTGTTAAATTCTGACTTTAATCTCAGAGGGGAACGCCCACTAGTTGAATTCTGACTTTAATCTCAGAGTGGAACGCCCACATGTTATAGACAATAGACAATAGACAATAGACAAATAATCTTTATTTACACATTCATTAAGAATAGTAGTAGCGTCAAATAATGTATATTGAATATGTATAATGAATATGTATAATGAATATGCGTGTATATTCTGACTTTAAACTCAGAATTCTAAGTTTTTTCTCAGAGATTAAGAAAAATATTTTTTTATAGTTGGTGGCCCTTCAGCGCCGTCGTACGGCCGTGATCTACAGTAGTCGAGTAATCCTATATAGTGGCGAGGCGGCCGGGACTGCAGTGACGTCATCGCGCGCAGTCCGCTCTGTCTGTCTGGCCTAGCTCTTGTTTGTAGTTAGTGACACTTGGATTGCATAGTGTTAGTTAAGTTTTTAGTTAAGTATTTAGTAGTGAAAGTTAAGTAGGTACTGTGTTTACTGTTTAGTGTGTTGTTAGTTTTTAATGTTTACTGATTGATTAGTGATTAGTAAGTGACTAGCGTCTCGTCTAGTGCAAGGGTGCAAGTGTGTTTTTAGTGTAGTGACTTATTTTACTTAATTACAGGACAGGTTAACGGGTTGAGGTTACTACAAACAATCAATTAAAGCGGTGGCTTATCATTGAGAGAATTAATTATTGTAGGTCAAATTAGTGATGTAGGTAGCTAGGCCTAGCCAATTACTTGTCTTTGGAGTCCAACTTAATTTCTGAAGTTAGTAGGAGAGGACTTTAATTTTGGGTGGTGACTGGAGCAGTTTAAGCATTTTAGAAACAGCTGAGTATACCATAGCATGATAACTTGGTTTAGTTATTATACCTATGTGAGGCCTTAACTTACGGCACCTTAATATGTTAATTTATGCGCAGTAAGTAAGTGTACTTAACTTATTTTGTATCCAGGAAAGTTACCTACCCTACCTAGGCTACATAGAAGGCTTACAAAAATTGACCCTAGCCTACTCTAACTAATAATGAATCTGGAAGGGTCTGCTGTTGACTCTTTTCATAAGAGTGAAAATGGGCCTAATTCGAGCAGCTTACCTTCCAACAAGGACATGAGTTCTTTTACAGAATCTAAGAATGATATTGAACATGTAGATGAAGCAAGACAAAATGGCCTTGGTGGCTCTCCGACAGATATTGAGAATGAACCTCATGGCAATTCCTCTGAAGACGAAGAAAGAGAACAAGAATGGTTGGATATATTGGGTAGTGGTCAGCTGTTAAAAAAGGTAACTTAGATGCCTAATATACTTAGGCCCAAGTTAGCTTAAGTTAATTACTTATTCATAGTAAGTTGAGCCAACGCTTAACTTATTCATATTTAGTGGGTTTTTAGCTTTTATTAATTTAGGCTACTTTTGAGAACACCTAGAACTTAACCCTCTTTTAGGTATCACAACAGAGTTTTCCTTTAGGTTAGGAGAATTTATTTTTTTATTGTGTTATCGCTTCCAGAACTTAGATTACAGGCACATGGGATTTTTAAGTAGGCTACTGTAGGCCTATCAATTGTTAATAATCGATGTAGAAAGTTCAGTTTTTGGATAGCCTACTGTAAGCTAAGTTTAACTTAGTTGAAAACTGATACTGTCAGGTTCGATAATAGCCTTTCAATGGAGTCCAATGTCAAATTTGTGCCAATCATTCATAATAATGCTATAGGCCTAAGACACTAATCAACATTGCTTCCTCTCTAATGGACTTTCCTATAGGCTAATTTATTAGCCTTTGCACCATACACTATAGGCTATTGTCGTTTTTCTAATCTCACTTCACCAGCTGTGCCCAGCTTAATTAATTAGTTTTTGGATGGATAGCTATCCCATCTCTAAAAAACTATTGTGATATGATTAATTTGATTGTAATGTAGCCCTAAGGTCTAGACTGAAGGTTATATATAGACTAGGCCTATATACATTTTGATTATGTTCATATTTTTAGGTTATCAAAAAAGGATTAAGTGATTCCAGACCTCAAAGATCTGACGTTTGTACTGTTAGATACGTTGGAAAATATGAAGACAAAGTTGTTGACGAAGGGAATGTTACAATCAACCTTGGCGATGGAGAAGTGAGTAGATCCATTTTTTCCTTACTTTACATCATTGGTGTCTTGAAAGCTCAGTTAAAAGTTGACCAGTTCTATCAGAACTAAAATAGTTACCACTTTTTAACTTTGCTTGTCCTGAACTTGAAGTTTAAAGCAGCTTCCACTAAACGGTTATTGTTTGCATAAATGTGGCAAGGGAGCATCTGAGTTTATTGATGCAAACAATCAACTGTCAACTTTTACTGCACATTTTAATTAGCCTAGGTCCTAACTTCTAACATTTTTAATCACTTAATGTAGCATAAGTAAAATAGCTAGACGGAGCTCACTAGCAGTGGTTTTAGCAAATTTCCCTATAGGGAAGTAGCTATTACCGTAGGTCTCATGGTAAGACCTAAGCCCGGGACCGATTTACTTTTTCATTTTGATGTCCCCAGAGGCCAAAAACACCATTCGTTCAAATTTTTATATATCTATATATAGAGATATATATATATGTGTCCATCCGCACGATAACTTGAGTAATTTTTGTCCGATTTTGATCAAATTTGGTTTGAAGGTGTAAGGCGGGATAAACTTGAATGAGTTCGCAAACCAGCATGATCGGACCATGGGAATGGGGGTTTACGGGGGGTTTTATGGGGTAAAAATAGGGTTTTCCCATTTTTGACCCTAAAAACACAAAATTTCACAATTTATTTTCAAACCATTTTGTAGAGCTTAAAAAAACAAATAATTTAGTCTATTGAAGCGTTATTATGCGCCTAATTGTTACGGAGAAAATTCAAAAAATTGTAATTTTAAAATTCCCATGTTATTCTTATGGAGAATAAGTCAACTGTTGTTGTTTGCACATATTTTGATCAAATTTGGAAAATACATTAATTTCTTACTAAAAAACAGTACCTTTTAATATTTTACATTAAAAAAAACTTTTTTACCCTCCCTGTTGCAGCAAACCTAAGTACTCATTAAACTAATTCTGTTAAAATAGGGAATAAATGTGATATTTTTAAGGAGACATTTTAGTTTAAATCCAATCAGGCAGATGGAAATTCGCTAAGTCTGCAGGTTTGCTGCGGCGGGGCTATTACTTAGTAACCACTGTACTTTGGTGTTATACGTTTTGTAATTGAATTCTCTTTAAAAACCATGTTAGTTGAAATTTTTTTCATATGTTGTTTTTGAGATATTAAGCTATGTTTTAAATTTTTAAGCGACCGCCATTTTGAAAATAAACACTCAAAAAAATATTTTTTTTCCTTTATAGGCTAATCTATCTATCTATATATTAATAGGCAAGCATGTTTCTTTAAAACCTTTTTTCTCAGCTCGTGTGCATCGTAGGGAAAATCTACGCATACCGTTAGAAAGCTATTTTCCTGTAGGTGTGCAGAATCCCTTTATAAATTTAAATAGGCTCAAAGATAAGCACAAAAAATGAGTTTAAAGATTTGAAAAAATTAACATGGATCTTATGCGTTGCCATGCTGGTGACAAAATAACAACGAAATATAAACAGGAAATCAAAACAAATGGAAGAAACTCCAATCACATGTTTTATTTACAGTGTGGGGTGAAAATAGAGAAGTGAGTACATTACATATTTTTGGTCGAGTTTCGACCACTGGACGACCTCTCGTACTTATTTAATACGCAAGCAGTTTTTTTGTGACAATTACTCCTCCGAAACTACTGAACCGATTGTCATGTTTTTGGTGTCATTGGAAAGAGCGTAACGTGAAGTTGTGCAGGAAACTTTCTTTTTAGGGAAATAATGAGCGAGTGAGACAATGGAGCACCTTAAAGTTTCGTATTTCTCCATAAGATTAACATTGGTAACAAAAATTGTTATGAAACTCCAGCTGTTGTCAGAAATCAAAAGTGAGAAGAAGAGCATATATTAATTGTAAACAGTAAATAACTTGGCTAATTTATCAATTGCTACAAACATTTACTGACTTGGGTGAAATTCGTTTTAAAATAACGCCTGTAATACTTAGCAATTGCTCGAATTCGAGCAACAGGGACACTAGTTAGTTCTTAAGGTAATAACTATTCTTCTTAAGGTAGGCCTAATAATGCCATAAATATACCAAATTTCCTTTTTTTATTACTAGCCTTTTTTATTATTAGGCCTAGTTCTTGAATTAAAAATGTTTTGTGAAAAAAATGGGGGCTGTACGAGTAACTTTTGAGTTTTTGTAATTTTGAATATGATATTTTGACTTGTATATGGTCCAGGAATAATACTTGAAAAATTTGTTAGAGACTTCCGGGACACCCTGTAGGCCTATAGGCCTACATAAATTGGTATGAATCGGAAGAATTAAGATGTCAAATATCTAGGCCTAGATCAAAAATTAAAGAAAAAATAGATGGCTTCACATTTCAATCCTGAGATGGTTAAACTGGACCCAGCTGTAGGCCTACTTGATAACTGGATTTTCTTTTCAATAAATCATATTTAAAAATGGATGGTCTCGATTATGAAAACAGCTAGGCCTACACTGTCATCTCGCTCTTTTCTACTCTCGCCCTGCGGTAATATTAAATTAAAACACAGGTATACATTCACAGTTGTCAATTTATCATAATGAACCGATGGAGAAATATTTGAACAATTTACAGGTTATTCAAGGACTGGATTTCACGTTACCGCTGATGGACTTAGAAGAGGAAGCAGAAGTAAAAGTTGGGCCTCGGTTCGCCTTTGGTTCTGAAGGAAGAGCTCCTGACATTCCCCCCGATGCAACTCTGTATTACACGGTTACCTTGGTCAGTGCGGAACCCGAACCTCTCATAGAGACGTTGCCACTCAAACAAAGGAAGGAAATTGGGTAAGTAATAGGACCTTTAATGTTTTAGTTAACAATTTAGTTACAGCTTATTAGTTTAATTATAGGCTAAATTAAATGAAGGACTGAAGCTTAATAATTTTTTGCCAATATTTAAACTTAAGTCGTTATGGCTTGTATTTATTTTACTTGAAATAATACATGGTCATAAAAAGATTTTCCTTAGCGCTGAATTTATAGAATTTAAATTCAACTAGCTTACACAATTGCCGAAATTTCCTTCTTCTTAATATATCTTTGTACCTAAAACCCTTTAGCTACCGGTATAAAATTATCAAGACATGTTATGGTTGGTTTTCAGAAACCGAAAGAAAGAAAGGGGGAACTACTGGTATACTAGGAAAGATCACACTTTGGCCATACAATGCTATAGAAGAGCTTTGGAATACCTTGATGACCACGGTCTTTCAGCTGAAAACCAAACGGTAATTATATGTCTATGATATACTCCGTTAGAAAGGTTTTGGTCTTATGACACTATATTTTACTTATTTAGACTAGAGTGTTTTATCTGCAAAGAATAATTAATGGTATGAAATTTGGTTTACTAAAACTATAGTGTATATCTCTTGTGTAACTATGAACATTTTCCTTCGTGATCTTAAACAAAAATCACGTATATTACAGTATAGACATTTTATATAGTAAAAGGGAGTTAAATTTAGATACTTGGTCGTTGATAAAATGCAGTTTAACAATCGAGGTTATAAATATATCATTTTACTAATGATAAGTTATCAATAGAAGGTCAACTGTAGAGATATAGCCATTCATCAAATTATCAATTGTTGATCTTACATTGTAACATAGTTCTACTTGTTTCATAATGAGCAGCTGTGATTCTATATTGTTTGTAGTTGATTTTGATCAAAAGTAACCTGATCCCGCCACAAAATGTAATTGACTTGTTGACAAGAAATAACAAGTAATAATTAATAACAAAATACTTTACCAAAATGAGGAAAACAAGTGGTACCAGGAAACTGACTCATACTTTCTCCCATTAGCTTTACTTAAAAATCAATCAACCTACTACTTTTACGAGAAAAACAATTATTAATGGGTGAGGGAACTACCACTTTTAAACTCCAGGCCGCGGCCTTCGAAGTGTTTAGTGGCAGCTTATGCGTATTTCGTGTATTTTTTAAGAATGGGAAAGCTTAAGTTAGGCTATAAAAATATTGATTCTATTTTAAATGTAGGCCTACAAAAATAAATTTTCTATTTATTATATTGTTTTGGCTTATTTGTGGTGATAATTTTAAATTTAAATCAACCTTTTCCACTCTCATCTTTGTAGGGTTCTGCCTCATGCCCTAGGTTTAATTTATTATGCAGGTCATTAAGCTTACCAGTACTTTAACTTAAAATTTTATTACACTAATAATAAAAAATTAAATTTCATAAACTCTTTTTCAAATAGGCCTATCCTTTTTTTCTGGAAGCCGACATCGACACGTGATATGATTGCGAAACAGCCGATGTTGGCTCGCGGCCGACAAGAGATAAAGTAGGCCTTCGTCTGGCCCTAAACAGTGGCCTGGAGTTAAAGGTGGCCGTGGTAAGGGGCAGGAGTAACTATGGATTATTATGGTGGAATTTACAGAAATTGCAGTAAATTTTGAACCGTAAAATATACAGTGTGTAATTATTATAATTATTGGTGGTGAAACTTTGTCCAGGTTTATAAGGACATACTACTAAATTTTAATCAAAATTGGTCAAAGCTGTTATTGGGGAAATCCATTATTTTATAGTTTTTTATGAGAAAAATCACCATTAACAATAACAAAATAAATTAAAATACGCCTGGAGAAACGATGGATTAGTACCAACATAGCAATGTTCATCAAAATCAAAAACCACTTTTTTGTTGCGGGGGACTCAAAATGGATATATTCACCCAAAACTCTAACTCAAAAATTTTGACAAAAACAATATTTTCTTTATACTATGTACTAGGGGGAGAAAGTAATGACGAAAAATTAATAAAAACTTAAGTTTAAGTACACTTAAAGTCCTCACAGCTTTTTCTGTGTTCATTTGTTCAGAAGCAAAAATATCAGAACCAAAAATCAGATTTTTCTATATTTATGGTAATTTTTATAAAAGTTAATTCTTGAGTGGACTTTAGCTTTTGACACATTGTAGGTTGTATCTGTGAAGTTTTCACTGTAGAGAAGTCTGTTTGTGCAAGTCACCATGAGTATTTGCATAAATTAGACTTTGAGCCTACAATCATCCATCTTGTTTGCATATTGGTTAGTTTGACAAACAAACTAAGGCCTGGCTTGAGCAATGTTGTAAAAACCTCCCAATTATCAATTCGTTTTCCTGATATCCAGTACGTTTTCAATCTGATACCATTCTGTTTGGCGCTGGATAAACTTATACATAAGTTGTTTGATTATGTTGACACCTACTGAAAAGTGTACCTCTGAAATAATTTAAGTAGTTATTCTTAGTGGCAATTAGCTGCTTCTAAATGTGTGAATTGGCAATCAAATATAATTAGAATTTAACACACATCAATTAGTGTAATTGGTCAATTAGTTTGAATTATACTCTTAACTGTCCTAATGAGGCAATACATTTTGTTATTATATTTTAAGAGGTGCTAGCCCGTCCTACGTACGGGAGTAGTCAGTTAAAACTGTGTATAATTCAGAACAGTTAGCTTACACGTATAAAGACAAAATTTTATTGCAGCCTACAGTTGAAAGAGTAATTATCAATTGAGAAGTAGTGTATAGGCCTAGTCAACGATATCACCTTCCAATTCCATCGCCTCTTTCATAATCAATATCACCACAATACAATTACTCATACTATACACAACTTCCAGTAGGTCTGAATAGAAACTCCCTAAAATAAAACGAAAACATCCAATAAAATTCACAGTACACATAATTATAACGTTGGTGTCCTGACATCATTAAACGAATCGTCCACACATATCAATTTCACTGCATCAATTGCTAAATAAATAAGTGTAAACAAAGAAAAGTAAAAACATCAACATATAGTTTGTTTTGGTAAACAGCTGAGTCAAAAATAAAATAATATTCATTTGAACAAAAGAACTAACTGGTCACATGGTGAAGAAATTTAAAACGTAAACACGCTAGTAGAGCTAGTGACGTAATTAATTGTCTATGTTTATTATCCATTCCGTTATCAGTTCTAATATCCTTAATATCCTTAATAATTAAACCACCCTCATTGAATCAATGTACACCGTAATCCCCCATATTCATTTATTTAAACCATAAAATATTCAAAGCCTCCAAACTAAACCACAACTAAACACACGCCAAACAACTTTTTAGATTTCACAAAAGATTGACCTAGGAATTGACGTTGTGCTCAATCTATGTCATTCATCTATGGGTCAATCCATATCAAGTGATCCAGAAATAAAATAATTGGTTGCTTGACCATTTTTAAAATAAATAATAATTTTATCCTAGATACCTCTATCAATTCTGGGTTTAAAAGTGATTTTAATTTTTTTTTATCTCTTTTGTTACTTCTACGGCGGCCATTTTTGTTTTGCGGAACACGCAAATTTTTGCTCATGTTAGGGTTTGCGTTAACTTGCACAACTCGGTAACCATGAACACTAGAGTGATGAAACAAAAAGCATTTTAATCTGAAAAAAACAGCCTAAATATTATGTTCAGTACATATTTATTGAAATGTGTATCAAAAACAGTTTTAAACCCATCTCAACATTTCATAAGAAAACGGAAAAATTTCCGGAAGGCGTATTACCATTGGAACGAATAAAATCTCAGACTTGATTTTTTTTGTGTGTGTAGCAACTCAGTAGAACTGTTTGTATTTCAAATATCAACCATGAGACTTAATTCCTTTAAAAGTTATAATTTTTCAAAAACTGAAATTTTTTGAAAAATTCAAATTTTGAGTCTCAATATCTTTGTTGGGACAAAGTTTAAAAATCTGAAATTTTTACCAAAAACCCCTCTTATGGTTGTTATACTGCTGTATGAATTTCATCTTTGAGATTTACTTTTAAGCTAAGTTACAGTATCATGAAAATCACAAAAGCTCGGCCAACGTGGCTAGTACTGTAGGTAGCTTAAAGATTAATTTATAGGTGTAGGTAATTATTTTATTTAATGTAAACTTATCTTAATGTACACATTTCAAAAATCCAAAACAGATTTTTAACTTAAACTTTGTACCCAAAGTACAAATTAGGCCTATATGTACCGCTACGGTACTAAAAATAAATAAAATCCTGCTAAATTTTAAGTTTTATTCATCATTTAACTTAAATAAAACTTAGTTAATTCTATTTACATTGAGGTCTTAAAATTTATTTTCCATTTAGATTTAATGTACCAATCACTCCACTCCAGTTATCGAAACTGGAAACGAACTTACTCTGAAAACGAACGCTCACTCCACTCCATCTATCGAAACTGAAAACGAAAACTGTTGTGTGTATCATGTGTGTACTATGAACAGCTGTGATTAATACAAATTATTCGTCTGTTTAACTAAACAAAACCTGTATAACACAAATCAATAAAGTGTTTATTGTGGTATTTTGAAAAAAAAAATGACTCATATTCTGTGGGAACTGATACAGTTTCCAGTACCTACAGGAAGTCGTAAATGAGTCACAAAACACAGTTTTTCTTAACAAAATAATTCATTTTTATAACAGATGAAGAAATCACTCAACACCACAACAACAAACTCCTGGACCGATTTGAGAACTGTTTAAAGATTACTGGAACAAGAAGCTTCCATTGTTTTATTCCTGTACCGGACAGTAGTAATGTTCTAGGTGCTTCGTAACCTCACTAGCAACTGAAAGCTGTAAAAATTACACTTCATACCAAAGACTCTATTGCATTTGTGTATGACAGTGGTGGGTGGCAGAGGTGATTGACATCAGTTATCAAAATAAAGATCCAGCAGAACCAACAACCAACCGCCTTTAAAACAAATTAGAAAGACCAAGCTTGGGTGCCTATAAACAAAGTTTTGAGAAAATTAAATCTCTTTTAACTGACAAAAACCACTGGAAGGACAAACCCAAACTGAATGAAGAAACATCCAAACTTCCTAATTAGCATGATCAAAGTAGAACAAAACACACTAACAAGTAAAAAAAGTTGTATACTTTAAGAACTTGTCTTTCAAACAGCTTTTGTATGTGAAATTTCTAATATTCTTTATTAAAATGAAAGTGGTTCAATAAATTCATAAATGAGTTCAAAATATTTAGGCCTATTGAAAAAAAGGTGTAAACCCGAATGAAAATAATCTGATAAAAAGTTTTTTTTAATTTCACATAAGACAAGAAATTTGCAAGAAAAGGCTATACCTACATTACTTTAAAGTAAGTTAGGTAAGTTTACATTAAATAAAATAATTACCTACACCTATAAATTAATTTTTAAGCTACCTACAGTACTAGCCGCGTTGGCCGAGCTTATGGGGTTTTTGCGATTTTCATGATACTGTAACTTAGCTTAAAAGTAAATCTCAAAGATGAAATTCATACAGCAGTATAACCACCATAAGAGGGGTTTTTGGTAAAAATTTCAGATTTTTTAACTTTGTCCCAACAAAGATATTGAGACTCAAAATTTGAATTTTTCAAAAAATTCCAGTTTTTGAAAAATGTTAATTTTTAAAGGAATTAAGTCTCATGGTTGATATTTGAAATACAAACAATTCTACTGAGTTGCTACACACACACAAAAAATCAAGTCTGAGATTTTATTCGTTCCAATGGTAATACGCCTTCAAAAGTTTAAATTTTTCCGTTTTCTTATGAAATGTTGAGATGGGTTTAAAACTGTTTTTGATACACATTTCAATAAATATGTACTGAACATAATATTTAGGCTGTTTCTTCCAGATTAAAATGCTTTTTGTTTCATCACTCTAGTGTTCATGGTTACCGAGTTAAGCAAGTTAACGCAAACCCTTACATGAGCAAAAATTTGCGTGTTCCGCAAAACAAAAATGGCCGCCGTAGGAGTAACAAAATAGATAAAAAAAATTTAAAATCACTTTTGAACCCAGAATTGATAAATGTATCTAGGATAAAAATATTATTTATTTTAAAAATGGTCAAGCAACCCTGTTGGATCACTTGATATGGATAGACCCCTATATATCTTTGGATAAAACCCGTCTGAGGTTGTGGTGGTAATTTAAAATCGTATTCCTGAAGATTCTTGATCTCCTTTATGACATAAATATTTCCGGGCCTAATCCAAACAAAGTTTAAGCATTCAAAAACATTGATTGTAAACAAACCAAGATAAATTAAAACTTGTAAAAAAGGGATTTTCCTACCCTTTCCTAAAAAGGTTGAGCAGTAAATTAATAAGCATATCCTCTTTTTAAGACTTGTGTACAGAGCTTCGACTTGTATACATCGATGGTGTTACTTATCTAGGTGGTCTACTTATCTTACTTATTTCCTATAATCAATGACAAAATAAGAGTAAATAAAATAACCTCATAGTTCCATAATTTATATTTAACCAGCTGTTAGTTAAAACAAATTATATTGCTCTAAAACAAATTCGAAGATTACAAAGATTGCTTTAAGAAATAATTTGAACATCTCCTAGTATTTTACTATGTATATTTAATTAATCTGTCATCCTCTTACAGAAGAATTGAACGTATCAATGATTAGCATTACACATAGTATAAATAAGTCAACTCTAAGTATGTCTTTACATTTTTATCCAAATGCTGAATTTGTGACTCAAAATCTGAATGTTTACAGCTGTTATGTTAAGCAAATTATTTTATGCCAAAAGCTAGTTTAGAATCTTAGCGTCGGCTGCTAGACTTTTTAAAAATTAAAACTTAATTTCTAAAAAACTCGGACTCTAAACTAAAATTATGGCTTCGACATTCCCTAGTTCTCAAAATTATCTTTCTTTCAACACAAAAATCATGAAAATCCGTCGAGTGGTTGATTCAGAATCGTGAAATAAAAAAACACTGTTTTGTTTTAATATTATAGATACTCTTAACTTTTCTATGCTATGTTGAGTATTTTTAAAGATGACAAACTTATTACCTTTAATCCCGATGGGTCAAACGACTGCAACAATTGATATCCGCGACACACGATTTTGAGCCATTTTCTTTATTTCCCCCCAGCTATACCTTCCTCCAGGTAATTTTCAACAGATTTTTCTTTGACTAGTATTTAAAGAAAGTATTGTTTTCATCAACATTTCCTAATTTGAGTTTTTAGTGAAAATATCCGTTTTGAGCCCCCCTGAGTCCTAGAAGTAGTTTTCAAAGTGTTGTACTTGTGTGTGTGTGTGTGTGTCTGTAGCTACAGGTGTGGTCTGATTTTGATACAATTTGGTATATCGACACTAATCCATGGTAGCCTATCCCCAGACATTTTTGAAATTTTAATTTTTTTTATGTTTCCATAAAATGACAAAAAACAGCTAAACAATTTTTTAGTACGTTGTATTACTTTAACTCTTTCAAAAATGGTACAAACCCCATTGCTGTAAAAATGTTGGTTATTGCCTAACGGTGAAAAGCTATTGCAACTTTTGTGATTTTCCCTTAAAACACCATAAAATAACAGAAAATTCTGATTTCTAAAAAAAACCTTAGACTAGTTTCAATTTTAATTTAGTATCTTACAGTCCTCTTAACTCTTAACAAAATATTAAAACAATAATTGCTGTAAAAATTAGAGTTCAAAAGCTATTGCATTTTATGTGCTTTCTCCCATTAAAATCATAGTTACTCATACCCCTTAAACCTGCAAGAGTTGTTAACAAGCTAATGGGAGAAAGTATTTGTCAGATTGCTGATAAGGTTATTTCCACTTGTTTTTGTTTCCTATTTTCTTGCGGGGTTCAGTCGATGCTATCCACCTGTAGACTACCTTTTCTGTTAACTGAGTTTTAGCAAGGTCCATTTGGACTCTCTTCCATAACTCCTCGTTTCCTACTATGCCTGGGCATCTGATTTCAAAGAATAAACTGTAAAATTATGATTTTTCAGGAACCTGAAGAAGAAATCCATTCTTTGCTAGAAGACAGAATCAAAGTGTACAACAATCTGGCTGCGGCTCAACTGAAGATAAAGGCGTTTGAAGCAGCTCTTCAATCCGTGGAAAATGTCCTTAGATGTCAACCTGAAAATGTTAAAGCTCTTTTTAGGAAAGGAAAAGTAAGTTATATTTATTTTTAGGGATGGACGATATTGGATTTCTAGTTCGAGACGAGACGAGATGAGATTTTTTATTTCTCATAAAATTTTGCGACGGGATTTCCCTTCTCATACACAACGGGAAATGCATGTTTGACATTTTTACCTGATTTTGTAACATTGTTAGATGACTGTTTAAATACAGAAATAATAATAATAGAAAAGAATATTTAAAATCTTTTATTAAAAAAACATCAGCATAAAAATGTATATTAATTACACCTAACTTATTAAAAATGCTTACGATTAGGAAAAATTGTGATATCAGTTAGGATAGAAAAACTCATCCTTAAAATAAAATAAATCATAAAATTTATTTATTTATTTATTGCTCTTGACAATTTTTAAATTGTTTAGCATACAATTTAGTTATTCTAATATTTATAGTTACATATAGGTTATTTTATAAAATTACACTTTAAATTAAATTTAACTTTAAACAAATAAATCAATACATTAAAGAAATTGAGGAAATCTAAAACACATTTTACATTTATTAAGAATGCCTTTTAAAGTATTTAACTCATAACCCCTGGGGAATATAATACTGTTGCCCTTAACTCCAACGGTGTGCAGTGAACATAAAAAATGAAAATAAAAGCAGTATTAATTTTTATAAAATAGTTACTTTTTTGGCTTTTTTATAGTAGTAAAACATGCCTCACACTGCTTACACTTAACAAAACCTCTCAAATGATAAAATAATAAAAGTAATATTTACATGTAAAGAATTAATTAAATAAGAACGCCTTTGCAAAGGAAACGCATCTTATTAACTATTGCATTGACTTTCTGCAGGTGTTTTTTCGTTGTCAGGCACCGAAGTCCACGCTCTAACCACTAGACCAGCTCGCTCCCCAAAAATTACACTAAAGCCATGTTAGGCACGTATTTCAAACAAAAATTCCAACGTTTGAGGCAACTAGGACATTATCAACTATAGACTTTGTTCAGTTCAGACTTATAGTGGTTTGACGACAACCTGTGTATGAATCACAGACGTTGCTGAACAATTGTGTTGTTATGTGTATAGCCACACAAACTACGCTACAAGTTCATGTCCCATTCACTCAGGCTGTTCAGGATATACAGATTTTTTGCTGCTTTTCCTTATTATCTAGTATATTACTGTACCACTGCTCTCAACAAAACGTGTGGTTTTGAAACATGTCCAATTATTTTTTATTAACTTTTGATAGTATGGAATTCTTCTAGTCCTGACAAGGATGGTCATGGGCATCCATCTAACTGTTCCATAAGGGGCCTGTGGGGTAAGGAATAACCCTCAGTTAAAAGAGGATTCAGTGGTCCTCCCCCAAAAACTTTATAAATGCATACAAAGTTGTTGATTTTACAAATTTTGTAACTAAATTTGCTCTATGTACTTTAAATATATTGTTTTTACATCAGTTTTAACATTTTTTTAAAAACTGGTTAACGTAGGGTCTTATAAATCATACTTGGGTCCCCCCGTTGCTCATGTTGATGGGCCCATAAGTACAGTATTTGGTCCTGATGTGCCTGAACGAGAGAAACTATTATGTATTAAGTGAAAAGTGTTAACAAGATTTTGATTAACAGATAATGGCAGAAAAGGGGGAGACAGAAGAAGCTGTGGCTCTTCTTAGAAAAGCGCTGACAATAGAACCGGAGAATAGTCAGACTAGGAATGAACTGAATCAGCTGTTGGCCAAACAGAAGAAAGACATTGATCTGCAGAAGAACCTGTACAAGAAGATGCTGGGGACGAACAAGGCTAAAGAGGATGAACCACCTCCCAACAATGATGTGAGTTTATAAGGGTTAGGTTTGATTAAATTAAGCAAATTTCAAGTTGGATTGGCTTTTGAATTGTTAGAATTAACAAACTACCTGTGTTGCAATCGGAACGGCTTGTGGTAAATCTATTTATACAACAATGGATTGTATCTGATGGTTAAAAAGTACATGAACGTTTATTTGTCAGATAAAGAAATGGCATGGATTAAACGCTGCTTTGTAGAAGATTTTTCGTCATCAACCTTAAATGAAGGCAGTATTTTTAAGTAAGGGTTGATTTTATGATTGTGTAACTTTGTAGTTCGCATTTGACCCACTGGCATCATTTGTGAACAGAATTACACCATTTGCAGCGCTGTAGCTGACGTGTACACTTCACTTGGAGTTTAAAACCATTAATACCAGTGATACATTTTTTGATTGCAAAAAACATATCCAATGCAGACTTTTATCGCCAGATGATCGAAGGTTATGGCCCTTATGCAATCAGTGCGGATCGCTTCAGGCGTTCAGGAGGAGTATGTTAAAATCAAAAGTGTATTACAAGAGCTTCGCTCGCTCCCCTCAATTATGTTCATGTCACGTAGCGCCAAAGTGATGGGTATCTTATTAGGTTTGTGTGGGAAATTAGATATAAGCACATTATTGGTTCTACTGTAGAGTGATAAATCACTACTAACCGTAGAACATATTGAATTTTCTACTCTTAATGATTGATCTCAATAGAGATTTCAAAATCTAAGAATACAAAAATAAATACCCACAATACACGTATTTTGTTGGAAGAAATTTGAAGACTTACTTTTTATTATAAATTAAATTCACAGTAGGCCTATGGTGCTGATATTTATTTGTGAAACATAGGTATTGTCTGTTGGCATTAGATAGATCTTTTAAAAACTGAATCATATCTCGAATGATTCAGCTCATTATTTGTTCATTACTGAATTGCTCATCTTGTTGCAGGCTAAACTATGGGGTGTGTTGGTTGGGGCGGTTGGAGCCTTGGTTAGTGTATTCGTAGCCTACAAGTGGTACAAACCTGTGTGAACAACCACTTAAAGACTATAATTTTACTAAGTGATTTTTTGTTGGCATTTGAATTTATTGTTAGGTACCATATCGTTACTATATTGCAGACAAGTGCATTTCAAATATAATATATTCCTCTTCGTATTATCCGATCATGTTGTGTTGTTTTCATGAATATTTTTGATACTGTTTTGTTTAGTTGTGATTAAATGAATACTTGTTTATCTGTTTTGTGTTTACCTGTTTCACTATAGTTTGGAGTTGGTTAATGAATGATATTCGAGACTAAGGAGGAGGATTTCCCAATTTGTCTCTTTGTCTCTTTCCCATAACTCACTGTTTAACAAATATATTTATAGTGGTTAGTTCTGAAGTCTCCTGAATCCAGAACCACGTTTCTAACAGATTGATCGAATGATCGGAAACATGTGATAAATTAATTAAACATGGACAGTTGTCAGGAGAATAAGTGGACTTAAAACTTTACATACTGTACTTGATCATTGCAATGTTCGATTTACCTCTAAGCTGCAAACAAAAGGGGGGCCGCAGCTTTTTATAAGAAAAGTTGTTTAGAACAAAAAATTAATAATTTGCCATGTTGCGGGTGACAATAACAATGTCCCCCTAATTTTGGGATACATTCACAATTTTGCAATCATTAGTGTTAGTAATGATAATTATGTCCCTGTTATCGCTGGAGATGTTCATGGTTTCGCTGCGGGAGGATGGTTTAGTTTGGCCTAGGGCCGCAAGTACCATAAATCCAGCACTAGATCATTGGAATGTAAAACAAATACTCATGGCCTTACAAACAGCCGACCCGATTATCGTCTGAATCAGTAGCAATGCTAGACATTGTTTTTGCCATCTTCAGTTCATTGTTTTGATGGTTGACATCCTCTTTTTCCCTTGTATTTTCTCATCCTCAAAGGCCTAAGTGCGTGGAACGTAGCAAGCTAAGGAATGGGTGACCCAATACAGTACAAAAATGAACTAGGCCTAAATAGACAAATTTTAAATGGTGCCAGAAAAAGTTGGCTCCGCTCACAATCAAAGGTAAACAATGGTTATTGTTTGATTTTATATCAAGGAAAGGAAAGCAATTCTGCTTCACAGTAACACAAAGGATAATGTAGTTGTTATGTTTGTCTGAGTAAAAATGTTTTAATCTTACATAAGTACAAGAAAGAAATCTATATAAATAAAACTAGAGTTTTGTCTGTACATTGCTCAGAATTATATATTTTTAGGTTATTTTTACGTCTTATACATTAAATAAGCAGAAACGAGTCTTATCTCAATTTCTGTCTGTCTGTCTTTCCCTTTGTCTGTAACACTAAAGATGGCATTTTACGCTATCTTCTCCTGGAAAACGAGAGTACCTATCAAGATCCAAGTCATTTTAATGTATTCACTGGATTGGCGAGATTGTCTTTAGCCATTAAAATATAGCCTCACTACTTTGTAAATAATATTACGAACGTTCAAAAATGTAGTTTTGTGCAATTTATGTCAAGTTTTCGTCCAATTTTTATTGCATAATCATCTATGAAATAACGAACAGCTGTTCGGATCAAGATTATTTTTCCTAGCTGTCACTGATATGTTTACAAATGTTGTTTACAAATACCGCAACCTTTTTCAATCACGTTTTGAATGTAAATCCCAAGTGATTAAAAACTTTTTTCTTACATAACGGATTTAATTAATCGAAAGTGCAATAATAAAGTGTAATAGTGTAACCGTGTAAATGAAATTAAATAACTAGGCATCATCCAGTTCAGAAACCAGAGATTCTTTGTGTATAAATTGTTCTTGAGTTCTGATAACCAGAAAGAAGACCTTGAATCAGTGTTATATACGGCTGGGAAACTTTAAATTTAATAATGATCGTCGCCAAATGGCTTAGAAATATGGTTTCCACTCATTGACACGGCGCTTCAATGGCGGTTGTGTAAAGTGTAAAGTAAAAAAATCACAACTGCAGTGGGTGATTGTAACAGAGGTTTACGGATGATGCTAAACTCGCTTTTCTAATGTGTTATTTTCTGTTCCTACCATTGACTATATATATATATATATAGTCAATAGTACCTACTCACCGTGTGATGCAATCGCTGGACCATACAGCCAATAGGCCCATAGCCCATCTCTTGGGTACGTACGCCTACCCAATTATTCATAACAACTGTTCGACGACGATCATTGATCCCGGTACTTTTCCCTAGAATACACGGCCTACCTACTTAAGAAATAAAATTACAAACGTCCAAAAACCCAACGTTGTGTGATTTTTGTCACATTTTCTTCTAATGTTATTAGATAGCCTTTACCAATCATTGTTTAGAGAATAGGTACGTAATCTATTAAATAACAAAAAGTTGTTTGTATGAGGTTGTTTTTTTTTTTCAAACTGACACCGATAAATACGTGACCGCCGGATATTAGTTGCAGCGCATGCTGAAAGCGGTCACGTATCACTAAAACTGCCATATCTCAGTTAATACTTGTCCGATCTTAAAGATTAAGGTGTCGATCGATTTGTAATAAAATTGCCTTAAAAAAGTTAACCTTGTAAAATTTTTGTAACATCAACAGTTTTCGAGTAATTTAAGAAACAAAATTTTAAACAGCCGCCATTTTGTTTTATGAATTTGAAAAATCGTCATAATTTTTTTTGTAGCTTTGTCTAGTTGTCATAAATGTTTGTGCAAAGTTTCAACTTCGTATGTTTAACCAATCTTCAGAAAAAAATTAATAAGTGAAAAAAACAAAATGGCGGCTATCTGAGTAAATAAGGACTTCCGGACAATTTAAATATGATATTTAGATATGTTTCTTACCCAGGAACAATGCCCTAAAATATTGGTAGAGAGTTCCGGGACACCCTGTATAATAGTTTTGCCAACATATCTGAAAATATACAAACCAAATTCTGTTCTTAATAAAAAGGTTTCAATAACTGACTACAATAAGATCCCGGTGCGTAGAACGGGCACACAGCTAGTATAAAATAAATAAGTTTTAAATAAATACATAGTTTGACCATAGCACTATCTTGTACCAGATGGACTATGGAGAAGTCTTAATTAAAAGTAATTGGGTGGGCTATAAATTATGAAAATCTATCTACGTTTTATTTAGTGTGGTATTTCTGGTAACAGTAGAATTTCCCTTTGCAACCATTTCATTCTCTTGGCTTGAACTGTTTGAAGCTACATTATTCTCTAACTTGTTCATTTCCACTTGATTGTTAATTACCATAGTATTTTCTGGAACACTGCCAGTTAAATTTGTTATATCTATCGGAATATCTATTGACATGGGCGTTGCTTGTGTTGTAGTATTTTTCTCATCAGTTATTGTTATGTTGAATTTTTTCTTCTCGGGATCAACAGGGTCAAAGACGTCGGATGCTTCTTGTGTTGTGAGCGAAGGTCTCCCATCTGTCGGAGAGTTGCCTTCCACTGCAGCACCTTCTTCCATCTCCTAATAGAAACACAATTCCAAATTAGCCACTTAAAAAAAAGCTCACCATTCAAGGGAGTGTGAATCGAAATTATCAACAGCAATTCACACCAACGCATTATGTTGCTAAATTATACTACATGGATTATGAAACTAGTTGCAACTTTAACATAGGGATGTCCAGTTTTATCCATAGTCAATGATAATACCTATTAGCATAGACGAATAGAATAAAAACTTTCAAATGAAGATTCCACGATATGCAGCTAGAGCATGCTCGGTGTTCACCTTATGCTACCAGCAGACTCTGCAGTGGTGTGTGCCGTAACTACACGGCACTCCAAGCGGTGGACGCCAGAACATATGTCAACCGCAGCACTGCTGTAGGTCTATATTTAATTATTGCTATTAGCCAAGTTAAACTTGTCACATCTCACCTGAGGCATCACACCCCCCTCATCCTCGGGTTTGAGCAACGACACTCCGTCCAGTCCCATCTTCATACAGTCAAACTGCAGCACTAACACTGGCACTCTCTCTATCCGGGTCTCCAGGTTCATGCACATATGGATGTTGCGGCCTGGAGTGAAGATGTTGAAGAGGCGTACACATTGGTCCATGGTGGGGAAGTACGGCCCGGGCAGGGGTAGCTGGGCACATGCAGGTGGGGGGTTCTTGCCTGGAATGATTACATTACTCGGTATTTAGCTTGGAATGTCCCTTAGTTAAGTAGTCATCATTTTATGAAGCAGCTGTAGGCTATTTATTTATTAAAACGTTCGCTAGCGATAGTCGACTATAGTTGACGCGACACGAGACTTATAGTGCCCTATTGCCAGATTGCCCTATTGAACCAAGCTTATTTAAACATACCAACAGACCTATCATTTCTATGAGTTTTTAGTTATTACCAATATTGTACGTAACGTGAACACTAATTATTTGTACCTGAAATACTTCTGTTGAAGATGGATTGCTCATTCCACAGCATGTTCATACGAATGGAAAACTCATACGGATCATAGGTGAAATTGGTACAACCTGAAAAAAGATCAGCCAAAAAATTGTTTTGTAATAATCAATACAGAGTGTAAATATGTGCATAATCAGACTTTGATATTTAAAAATAGTCATTGTAGGCAAACCTGGATGGATATTTTGTCTTATTGTAGCCATGCCTTAAATTTGTCATTGATAATTACGGTAGTTTCCAGCTACAATGATTCATTACAGTCAAGCCTAAGATTGTCCTATTGTTTTTTATGTCACAACTTCACATCCTAGGATGTAGGCTCTGGCCCAGAACTGTTTTATACGTTACTTCATTGAGGGTTGTGGTTAGCTTATTTTACTAAGAAAAAATCCATTGGTGATTTTTGGGATTTTGACATTTTAAAGCACTCTTGTTAATTTAAAATCATTGCATGACTTTTAATATACAAAGTTCTTCAATATGAGTTCATGTCGTTGAAACCTACTTATTTAAAGTGGATATTTTTTTGGCCTAGGACGCTAGACACGGCGAGCTGGGATTTTTTCAACATTAATTCAGGCGAGACCAAGGGGTTGTGGGATTACCACTTAGAAAAAATCAATTGGCAATTTGGCAGGATTTGAACTCGGGACCTCAGGGACTGAATCCCACGCTCTAACCACTTGACCGTTCTCGCTCTCCTCAAGTAGATGATATACAACATATGGTGGGTTCTGAACCACTGAGTCGCATCATTACGTACCTAAAAGCTATTGTTGATCGATAGGATTCCGACCAAAGTCTTTAAAACAGAAGACATGCGCTGTGACTTTGATTTCACATCTGGAAGCAAACCGAACGGCAAACTTCCCCACAAAAAAAAAAAAAAAACACACCAAACCAAACCCTTTCACCAACCTTCAAAAAAACTGTTCTGTTGTTTTCTTTTCTTTCGTCGTAAGGGGGGTGGTTGTGACGCATAGCGGCACGCTATATTTTTTATAGTGTGTGCAGTTCGCGAAGCCGGGCTGCATGTTCATCTCGTTGCCTGCCGCGACTGCATCAATGCTCTATCCCCACCTTTCCTAGTCTTGTCCTCCTTCTTCGACAACCGGCTTCTACACAGAAAACCTCTCCGTAAAATCCAGGACTTCTCTTCGATGTTTGGGATAAGTTATCATAGTTAGTTAATATGTAGAAATTAAGTAGGGAAAATGTCTGGCTAAGTCAGGTAACTAGCGGGGAGCCCTTCTGGCTCACCCGACTATGGAAATGTAGGAATTGACAACTTAGCCGGTTGTTGGCACTCTGCCACCAACCTTTCGAAACATGAATACTAATCCACATGTTCCCAGAGTGTAACTTAATAGTTTAAATCAATTCATACTTATTTCTCATTCAGTATTCAATTACATATCACTCATTTGCTCATCAATAATTAGTAAGTAATTACCCAAGTTCAGTTCATAGTGGAAGGATAGGTTTATATTTAAATAGTTAGTTCCATTAGTTCAAATCAAAGCTGGCTAGGCAAGTGTTCTGATCTGGGTAAAAGGTCTCCGTCCCTCTGGTCCCCAGCAATCTTCCTAATTGTATTGGTAGCAGATTCAGCACGCAGAAATTAAGTTTGGTCCAGACACACCTTTTCCTAACCTATTAGCATTACCCTGTTTATTCCCTCCTGATTACCCGAATTTCCCTCCTCCATCCCATACCTTAACCCCGCACCTCCTCACCAAACGGCCCCCCGCTACAGCGCTAACCCCTAGACCAGCATTGTCCATTACTTGGTATAATCAAGTGTCAGGGCCAAATAAACCATTTATCCTTTAAATGCTAACCTCTTCTGGTGAAGTTGAACAGTTGGATGTTCATGTTGACACAACAGCCACATTTCAGGTCTGCACATTCGCAAGGTAACGGTCCGAACCTTACGCTGGGAGTCTTGAGGGTTGGAACTACGTCGGACACATTCGTCAACATCGGGACTGGCTGACCAGCGTCATCATAGTAAATATGGAGCGACTCCATGTCTGAAAAAATTAGGGTAAATAGTTTCTCAACAGACCATTCTCAAGGCACAGACATGCGTTGATAAATTCGTGTTTGTTAAAAAAATACCCCCTGCAGCAAACCTGCAGACAAAGCGAATTCCCATTTGCCTGAATTGATTTTAAATTAAATCTATTTAAATAACATTAGGTTTAACAAGTTGAGTACCTAGGTTTGCTGCTAGGAAAGTAATTGTTGTATTAAGTCTGTTCTTTTTATCATGTGTTTAAATATGTTTGTTGTCAGATGTTTTTGTAAACATTGGTTTAGTTTGAAAATAGAGTTTGTTCAAGCAAGATGTGTGAATAATATTCTTGTATAAGAAATAGAACATGGTGGCAGCTTAGTGGATTTTTTATCGAACAAAGTCTAAAACCACGCATGATGTCAAGTAAGGGCAGAAAAAAACGAAATACTCGTAGGCAAAGGTATGAGGACAATGAGGAGGATGCCCAAAGTGAATTCAACTACATGTCAGAAAGGGATTCTAGAAAGACTGAAGGTGAGTCACTAGGTTTTGCATTGGGACAGACAAACCGAGAAAATAATGCAGTAATGTGTACTCCTACTCCTATGATAAATCTGACGTTACCAACTCCAGATACCTTCTCTTTTACTCCGAATGAGTGGCATTCCTGGAGGAATCGCTTTCAAAGGTACAGACGGGGGTGCGGTCTAGATAGCACTTTCGACGCTCGGCAAATCGATGTACTTTTGTTTACAATGGGTAGTAGGAGTGAAGATATTTTCGATTCGTTTTCACCAAAACCGAATACTTATGACGAGGCTCTTCGGGCCTTTGATGCATACTTTGTGCCAAGACGAAATATCATTTATGAGAGAACAAAATTTCTGAGACACAAGCAAGGGAGTGATCCATCTGAAAAATTCATAACAGATTTGCATGGTCTTGCAAAAACGTGTGCATGGGGTGAACTGAACGATGAGATGGTGCTTCTGGTCCTCATTATTGGTATGAAAGATGAGGCTCTAAGTGATAGACTCCAGCTGGACTCTCAATTGACTCTGGAGAAGGCGATTAATACCTTGCGCCAACACGAGGAGCTAGAACGCCAAAAACGTGTGCTCGCCAATACTAATGTTTTTATGGTGAATCAAACGTCAATACAAGTCGGTAAAACAAATCTGTCTGAAAGAGCTGGTGAACAGAAATTCACCGAGGATGCTATGAGAAAAAAGTGCAGGAAATGTGGTTACAACTGGCACGGATCACTGGCCGAATGCCCTGCTAGGAAAGCCAAATGTGACAAATGTTCCGAGATTGGACATTTTTTTCGATGTTGTCCCTCCCGCGAAAAGTGGATGAGAAAAAACAAAAACGTTGTTAAGGAAATCGAACAGCAAGATTCAGACAGTGGTTATCAACAGGTTCCTGAGATTTTCATAGGGAATATAGACAGCAGTGACAAAGCCTGGGTCCAGGAGGTAAAAGCAAGCTGTGGAAACCAAGATTTAGGTCTTATAAAATTTAAACTTGACACAGCCGCTGATGTAACCATGATTCCAGTAGGAGTTCTTGGTGATTTTATTAAGACTCTGCCTCTAGGAAAGTGCAAATCCCCTGTGTTTAGCGCAAAGAAGAAAGAACGAATCAATATTTTGGGAACTTTAAGGCTAAAGCTTGAACATAAGGGTGTATCAGTTTATGATCTTGCGTATATTTCTGAGGAGATCACTGTTCCACTTCTTAGCAGACGTTCCTGTGAAGAGCTGAACCTGGTGAGGAGAATTTTTTCTGTAGATTCACATGATATTGACTGGGCTACTAAGTATCCTAATTTATTTCAAGGGCTGGGAAATATGAAAGGAGAGTACAAGATTGAAATGAAGGAGAATGCAGTTCCTTACGCTATATCCACCCCCAGGGTTGTACCAATACCTTTAAAAACCAAGGTGAAAGAGCAGTTAGACGATATGCTTGAGAAAGGAGTGATTGTTCCAGTTGAACACGCGACTGATTGGTGCGCACCAATGGTAGTTTGCGCAAAAAAGGGAGGTGGGGTTAGGATCTGCGTAGACCTATCCAAACTCAACAACAGTGTGAAACGTCGGTTTTATCCTATCCCAAAGATCGAACTTTCATTGGCCGAGATCGCGGGAGCCAAGTACTTCAGCAAGATCGATGCGAATTCCGGGTTCTGGCAACTGAACCTTGCAGAGGAGTCACAAGATTACACAACATTTATCACCCCTTTTGGGAGGTATAAATTCCGTAAGTTACCTTTTGGAATTACGTCCGCTCCTGAAGAGTTTCAGCGCCGCATGTCAAAAGCTTTAGAAGGGGCAAAGAACTGTTTAGTGCACATTGACGACTGTCTGATATGGGGAAGAACGAAAGAAGAACACGACGAGTGTCTTAGGGCCGTTCTAGAGAGAGTGCAAGCTAATGGAATCACCTTGAATAAGCAGAAGTCGGAGTTCTGCAAGAAGACTGTGACATTTCTGGGGTTTGTGCTGTCTAAGGACGGAATCAAGCCTGATCCAAGCAAGGTACAAGCGATTGTGGACTTACCAGCTCCAAGAAACGCTAATGAAGTACAAAGATTCATGGGCATGATCACTTTTCTGGCAAAATTTATTCCGAACCGCAGTGAGATTTTGGAGCCAATTACGAGCTTGTTAAAGACTAAAAACGATTTCCTTTGGGGACCAGCTCAAGAAAACGCTTTTGTCACAGTAAAACAGATTTTATCATCAGAGCCATGTTTGACTGTTTACGATCCGCAAAAACCCTCGATTCTTTCTTGCGATGCTTCAAAAAAAGGTCTTGGAGCGGTTTTACTTCAAGTTGAAGGAGAAAACAAGAAACCTGTGGCATATATATCTCGGACTCTAACGCCTGCTGAAGAAAACTACAGTAACATTGAGAGAGAAGCGCTTGCGTGCACATGGGCAAGTGACCGTTTGAAATGTTTCCTGATGGGTAAAATGTACACAATTGAGACCGACCACAAACCGCTTGTCTCAATTTTCAAAACACAAAATTTGGACGAGCTCTCACCGAGGCTACAGCGGTTCCGAATGCGTATGATGAGATACGATTATCGCATGACCTGGACCCCAGGAAAAGACCTTGCCATAGCAGATCTACTATCAAGAAGTCCTATTCCGGCTGACGAAGATGGCGAATTGACCGAAGAAGTGGAAGCCTTCGTCCATGAAATCAGTCTGATTAGTATAAACACTACAGATGAAAATGTGACAAAGGTACTTCACTCACAAATGAGAGATCCAATCTGTGCACAACTTAAGTTACAAATTTTAGACGAATGGCCTGTAAAATCAAGTTTACCTAATGAGATTCAAGAGTACTTTAATGTGAAAGACGAGTTAAGTTGTATTGATGGGCTATTGCTTCGAGGAACTCGGATGATAATACCTCAAGAACTACGAGCGGAAATGCTCGAGAGGCTTCACAGTGGACACTTGGGAATCACAAAAACAAGGAAACGTGCTTTGGGAACCATGTGGTGGCCTGGAATTTCTCAAGAAATAGAAAGGAAAATCAAATCGTGTCCAGTGTGTATTCAGAACTCAACTAATCACAGTGAACCATTGATTCCGAGAACTGTCCCAGATTACCCGTGGCAAAATGTGTCTGTTGACTTGTTCAAACACGAAGACAAGTGGTATATGGTTATCGTGGATCACTACTCAAGATACTTTGAAGTCGAGGAAATGCATCGAATGAGGGCTTCAGATGTGATTCGGGTTTGCAAAACCACATTTTCACGTTTTGGAATTCCTCAACGTGTTTATTCAGATAGTGGGACACAATTTCACCATATTGACTCAAGTGAATTTAAATTGTTTGCAAAGGAGTGGGGGTTCTCCACATTCAGAAGTAGTCCCCACCACCATCAGGGAAATGGGGCAGCTGAAGCAGCTGTGAAAGTAGCAAAAGGGCTAATGAAGAAAAACAAGGATAAATTTGAACTTGCCCTACTTTCTTACCGGACCTCACCTCTTGAAACCGGCTTTTCCCCATCTGAACTTATGTTTGGAAGGAAATTAAGAGACAATCTTCCATCTACTTTGGTTGGAAATCCTGTGGAAAATAAGAATTTTCTTGAGAGGGAGAATAAGTACCAGAATAAGTACAAGATACAATTTGATAAACGACATGGAGCGAGTGGTTTAAGTGAATTAGAAGTTGGAAGCATGGTATGGATCACAGATCTACGTCGACACGGTAAGGTAGTCAGGAAATTGAACGAACCACGTTCCTACCTTGTGGAAACTGACAAGAGAACTATTCGCCGAAACAGGAAGTTCTTAGTTCCTGCACCGTACTACGGAGGAGATGGAATTCTTTCAAACTGTTCATCCATGGTCCTTAATCGTCCATGCAACTCACGTGATCGTCCAGGAGCTGGCACAGTAACCCGTTACGGAAGGTCCATTAAGAAACCGAGGCGGTACTGAGGTTCATAAAGATGTGGACATCTTGAAGCGGGATGTTGTATTAAGTCTGTTCTTTTTATCATGTGTTTAAATATGTTTGTTGTCAGATGTTTTTGTAAACATTGGTTTAGTTTGAAAATAGAGTTTGTTCAAGCAAGATGTGTGAATAATATTCTTGTATAAGAAATAGAACAGTAATAAAGTGTGTTTTTTAACGAGCATTAACAAGCAAACTTATTAATTTTACAATATGACATGGGAATTTGACATTTAACACTTTTTGGAATTTTCTCCGTGACCAATAACCGTACAAAAACACTTTGATATACTGAATTATTTATTTTTTAAAGCTTTTTAAGAAGGTCTAGAGAAAATGAGAAATTTTATGTTTTGAGGGTCAAAAAAAACAAAAAAAAAAACAATTTTTACCCCATCTTGAAACCCCAACTTGAATGGTTTGTGAACTCATTCAAGTTTATCCTGCCTACACCATCAAACCAAATTTCATCAAAATCTGACAAAAATTACTCAAGTTAGTATGTTTATGGACACATAAATATACTGTAGGGAAATTCGCTAAATAAGGAAAACGTTTTGACCTTTAAAATACATCATACTTGGTCTCGAGAGAATTTCCTTGAAGACCTTTCCACTGTGTTGGCAATGAAATCTACTTCTTTAAGTCTTTTAAATTTGTTAAACTACTCTTAATATCGTCAAAACAACGCTTTAATTATGACACATCTAGGATTACATTGGGCTGAGTGGTAGTTCCAAGGGGGGGTAGGGACTACAGCCACTCCTGGACCATTGGACCATGGAAAAAATTTTAAAAATATATTCCTTCCTAAAAATACGGAAAGTAAATAAAGATACGTCTTATAACACTTAAAACATATATTTACGCTTATACTGTTACTCACAAGACGGTAAATATATAAAAGATGGTAAGTGGTGATCGATTTTGATTGGACACTCCAATCATCATCAGACCCAATAGGCGAATGACAAGAATCTTGAATGGCGTCCCTACTTATGTAATAAGTAGTAATAAGTAGGGACGCCATTCAAGATTCTTGTATTATATAAATTTAATACAAGAATCTTGAATGGCGTCCCTACTTATGTAATAAGTAGTTATAAGTAGGGACGCCATTCAAGATTCTTGTCATTCGCCTATTGGGTCTGATGATGATTGGAGTGTCCAATTGAAATCGATCACTACTTACCATCTTTTGTATATTTACCGTCTTGTGAGTAACAGTATAAGCGTAAATATGTTTTAAGTGTTATAAGACGTATCTTTATTTACTTTCCATAAATTTAATAACACGTACAATGCTGATCAAGAAGTTATTTCCTAAAAATGTAACAGAGGTTTTTAGACACAGTTCTAGATGTCCTTAGAAAGTCTGTAACTGGCTTTAAAGATACCAAATTTTGTGGGGAGGACTCCTGGACTTCCTTCTTTCTTGGGGCGTGGAACATCCACACTTTCTAACGGTAACTTGAGCAGAGACTAAAGGTCCTAAAACTTTTAGTATTAAATCCAATAACACATTTACAAACTATTAAATTAGGAATCCGAAAAAACTTTTTACTTACCGTCCATTGTCATAGAGGCAGCGTATTTCAGGCACAAGACGGAGACACCAAACAAAAATAATCTTGCCATTTCTTCGCTGCTTTTGGAATCTACAAAGAATGTGTTAATAAATCATCACGATTATTGACATTCATTAATGTAGGTTTTTTGGATTTTTGCCATTGAAAACTCTAAGCACACCATTTGAATTGTTCAATTTCTTGCTTAAGAATCAAAGATACATTTAGGTTTGTAAACAAATTAAATTTAAAAAAAATTTATACAATAAACTGTCATTAAAGTCTGGCGCTACTCAACCCCTATGATCTAATACTTGTATTACAGTTAACTATTAGTGTATCAAAATAGTCAACACCTGTATACAGCAGAACAGAGAGTATAGTGACTGGCCATTATTGAAACAAAAGAATCCCTATTACTTCTTATCTCACAACTTTATTTTTATTTTTATTTATGTGTAATTTTATTTGTTTGGTAATTAGATGTAAGAAAAATCCATAAGATCCTAAGACTGCCTCAGTAAAGAAGCGATTAATTTAATTCAGTTTGTATCCTCTGTGAATTTAGACCTAAAATAACAATATACATAAAAAAAAAATAAATGGCAATCAATAAAAAAAAAACTACACCCAAAATCGCTAAAAAAACGTATAAACAATTTCACCAATTTCACAAAGTAAACATGCTTACCCTAAGGCTGATGAACCCACACTGATGGCTTGCAGGACAAGTGGCAGTGAGCTGGGTAGTGGAGCGTGGCTGCCAGATAGGCCATACTAATGTCATTTTCTCCTCTGATAACCCATTTGTATTGATGAACTACTATCAGACCTGCTTGAGATTCTACAAGCTCCCAGAGAAAGGCAGGACTGAATGGTGGCGCCATTGTCAATACTAATCATTTTATACTCCTAGGATACATGAGTGGATTGAGGATCAAATTTAGATAGTTTTCAACTTCTTTAATAGTAGCAGAGAATATTAATGGAGGTAGTCTAATAGTTTTAAACTACAGTGTACTACACTTCATACATTTGTGATATAATAATAACTTCAAGCTAGACAAATAATCAAACTTATATAACAAAATTTGTTAATTTGAAAAATATATAAGCACTAAGAAGAAAAGTTTCATTTTAAACGTCATGGTTTTTGGGCGAGATCATTTAATTCAGATAGATAAATATTTTTGGGTGGCATTCACCTTTTTGAAATCAGGAAAACACAGTCTTTGTCTCAACAGTTAATAACACACACAAACACTCATTTAAAATAAAAATAAATAACAGACTAAAGTTCTCTGACTCAGATGTTTGGCTGCATCAATAGCAACTCAATAGCTGCATTTTCAAGATACTCTTTTGCACTAAAATTTGCCATTTTCTATATGTAATCTCCTATATCGAATAGTCACATAAAGTAGTTACGTTAACTATTTAATGCGCAGATCAATGTTATTCACTGTATTTTATTTAGTAGTAGATGATTCTACCTAATATTTTAAAATAGTAATTACTTGTAAGAGTTTGTGGAATAAATACTCGTATGAAGTTGGCATTAGAAAATATATTTACAAATTAGAAATAAATAATATCACATATCAATAAACAATAAATAAAACTTAACATCATAGTAATCAATAATATAAACGGAAATTGTAAATACGCATATTGGTAAACTAATTAAAGCAACACTTGAGAAAAAACTAGTAAAACATTTAAATAGCAAAACATCTTCATCATCAGCTTGTTAGAAGATGTGGAATGCTGTAGAACAAAGTTTAGTTGGTTTACAGTACTTCAACTTCGCTCTCCCAACTTCCAGATGAAGTCTTTCCGAGCACTTCACCTCTGAACGATCGAGCGCTATCGTCGTAATCTTCGTCCGTTTGCTCCTCCTCATCAGGTGGTGGTGGAAGGCCTAAAGAATAAAATAATTAGAGACTTATTTTGGAATACGGTCACAAATTACAATTGTGATATTGAATACAATTAATTGTTATTGTTTTACAACTTTGCATCCAAACCTAAAAACAAATAGATTACACTAGCTCATTAGTCATTACAAACTAAAACATTGCACCAACATGAACCAAATTTGATTCATTTGTGTATGACTCTTCCTTGCCTCTAAATCCATTCACAAGTATTTCCGCTAGAATAGTGAACCAGAAGAACAAAGAAAATGTTCCTATGCTGGTAGGATAATCAATTCATGGTCAGAATAAGGTTTAAGTAGTTGTTGTGATCAAATACACGCACGCAGCTCACAAAGAAACATGTATATTTATAATTCCACATTCCTCTTGACATATAAAACATTATCTATTATATTTAATTTGGCATTAAACAGTAATAGACCAATGATCGATTAAAAAATTACTCCTTTCTCCTGAAAAAATTAATGTGGTTTTTGAAATGTGCGTGGTGGGTAGAGCTTGCCTTGTAATAATAAGGTTGCTGGTTCGAAGCTGAAAATATCAAAACCATTTCAAAGGTTCAGAACTGGACCCAGTCAAAACAGCAATCAATAGCATTCTTGCAATCTATCAATTGATAGCAATCTTGGTCATTGTGCTAATGATCCTGGATAAAGAGCCAGCAGATTTTAGTCAGTAACCAAAAGCAGTCATCTCAAACCCATTAATACTCATCTTTGGCTTATAATATGCATCATGGTGTGTTGGGGTCCTAAAAATCTAATGGAACCTAACTTAAACATCTACTTTTTACTTGTTTTATCCTTCACATACCTCCTCCATCTTCAGGCCGTACAATCGCCACTCCCTCAGTGCCTACCCTGAAGCAGTTGAAGGAGTATTTGAAGGCAGTTTCGTCAATGAAGAACCCCTCAAAGTCGAGGCAAGCGTGCATGTTGCGACCAGACATGTAGACGTTGGACAACTTGGCGCACATCTTGATGCCAAAGTATCGGTTGATGGGAATGCATGCTGGCCGTGGGTTCTTGGCTGTGAAATAATGACTTATCAGCTTCTGTGATGCAATATTTAATTTGGAGAAATGTACATAAAGAGTAAGATATATAGATAAAATACACATATACACAGGAAACACAGATAGATAACAGTACAATGTTGTTCATATTTTGAACAGTCGCGGAAAGGAGGATCGTGAAAAAAAGAGGTGAAAGCTTGTTCAGCTGTTGTGGTAAAGGTTGCCAGATACAAATTTATCTCCCACCTGTAGTAGGTAACTTAATAGAAAAACAGACCAGCTTGAGTACAGACAATTTCAACCCTTAACTGCTTGATTCTACTGGTCTGTTCAGAGAAATTAATACAGTGAAGTACCAGTACTTTTATAATGAAGACACATGCAAACCAGTGGTGATCAAATAATGTTGGCGGATGGTCTGCAGCCAATAATATCAGCCAAAAGCCACTACCAGTATCACTGAGCTATAGTGTTTGGTAAGTTCAGAAGCTGCTCCTCACTGTGAACCGCAAATGAAAGTGTAAATAATCTTTGTTTTCTGTTTGAATTGAGTTGATAAACTATCTTTATAGTTAAATCATAAGATCTTTCACACAAAGTTAACTAAACACAGTAAGCTAAATACCTCCTACAGCACAAAGAGAGTTTAAAACCTATTTACTAGCTAGGCTTGCTAGACATTAGTTACAGCTTTAGATATTGTCTCTTACCTGACATTCTTCTGTTGTACAGAACTATGTTGTTGTAAGCAAGTTTGAAGTTGAAGGCGAAATCGTCGGGTTCGTAGGTAACGTTGGCACACGCTCTCGACCTCAGAGGCACATTGAAGTTCTCCAAGATGATACCCGTACAGCAAGAACAGACTCCGTCGCCACATCTGCAAGGGTAGCGTTGCGTCGCTGGTTTTGCAGGTTTAGCAGGCTTTACTGTGACTGCTTGCGTCGGACTCTCAGCCAAAGGCTTCACTGTAGTAGCCCGAGGAGGTTTGGGTTTTGGTTTGCTCGGTTTTGGTCTCTTTGTCGTTATCGTTATCGTCACTGGTGTTGATGCCCCTTCTACAGTTGATTCTAACGCAGGTTTTTCAGATGCTTGTTCAGAATTCTGAGTTGGTTGTTCAGAAACTTGTAATGTTCCTGAGGTTTGCTCTGCTGTCACTTCATTTTGTCTTATCGTAGGTTCTTCTTCGGTAGAATTGATTTGTGAGGTTACTTTTATCTCATATTGTTCGTTATGTGATGCTTGAGTAAAATTACTTATTTCGTCTTGTTTCTGTGTTTCTGTCTTTACTTTCTCTGACGATTCGTCACTGTCTTCTTCTGAAGACAATTCCTGAACAGCAGCAGTAAAATGACTAATTTCATGATGGGTTTCTGTCTTTACTTCTGAAGACTCGTCACTTACTTCTTCTGAAGAGGTGATCTCTTCTATGTGTATTTTGTGAGATGTTAAAGTTGTTTCTTCCTCTGTCAAATTCAAGTTTTCCTTGGGGAAATGTTCTGGTGTACAATGTGAGTCATTGGAATCTGGAAATAATAACTTATGAATAAGTAATATAATCTTTTAAAGCTATTTTTATACTCAAGTGAGAGAACCATCAGTCAGTATAAAAAGTTGTAGGCTGAAAGTAAATACAAAAAATGTGAAATGATTCTAAATAGTTCATAATTTTATATTTGGAAAAATTAGCTGTAAAATATATTTGTGAAAAATATAAAAATCATCAAATTGATATTCCATAAACTAAACTTGTTAGAAATAACATTTTTTCGTACTCTAACAAGTAACTTGGGTTTGATCTTGAAATAGTTCACTCCCAAACATAAGTTGATTGGACATTAAAAAGTAAAAACAGACAACAAAAAATGTAATTAGTCTTTCACCTTTCTTCACTTACTTTGTTCACTAGCTGGTTTCGAGATGAAACTCTGGGTTGAAGATGAAGGTGCAGCAGACACCCAAGAAAAAAGTAGAGCTGGAGTTAAAACAAACAGCCAATGCATCTTTTCTGGAAATATATTATGAAATTTTACAAATGGGAAATTCATTAGAGCACCTAAAGAAAACCTATACGGTAACAAGTTTATTGAGTGTCATAGTATTTTTAATACTTTTCTCCTTTACTCTAGAATCAAGATGGGCCCCTCTCACCGAACTCTGCCACAGATAGGTTTAGGTTCTTATGTGTTGTGCATAGCCTCCTCTAATAGTTTGGCTATAGTTGTTCATCTGCATCAGATGTGACCAAGATAGAATTTGAACCCTCGATCTTTGGTAACATCTCCTTGTTGGAGAGGTGACGGCTTGAACGGCCATTGATCAGTTGCAATTAAGTTGCGATCAGTTGCAAGATCCGCTGCAAATGTAGTACAGTAAACTTACTAGTAAACGGAAAGTTGAATTAATTCAAGATTTGTCTCCTGAGTTATAACACGTTTCATGTACAGTTTTTAGCCATGGTATCCTCCCACAAATTGCAAGAGAGGTGTTTGTTATTTTAATTATATAGTCGATACAACCTCAGGGCTTAAAAGTGAAGAAAATATTTTAATTCTTGTATAATTAAACTTTTTTTTGGACCTTATCCAAAAGTTATGTATCCTGTCTAAGGACAGCAGTGGATTTTAGAGCAATTGATTGAAAAACTCAAGAGTAAATACAAATTTGTTTAAAATCATCAATGGCAACGACTATTTTTGAAAACTAAGGAATCAGGATGTCTCAAAAAACTCATAATGACAATTTTTAGATGTATGGAATGTGGATAGAAAGAAGCCAATCAAAGACTGATAGGAATTTATGTCAAACACTACCTTCTTGTAAAACAAATAATCTTGTATCAAGTAATTATGTTAATAGTAAAAACTGATACCTTATTTACTTAAGATCACTCACAAATAAACAAAATTGAAGACTTGAGGAAATATTACTAGTTATGATTGCAATATCACTGGTTTCAAAAAGAAAGTGTCAATGAATTGAAATCCTTGAATCCTTTTCCTTTGTTGTTGAGATTTCATAACCACATGAAGAAATCATATGACTCCTTTGTTTTCTTTGAAATTTAGATTCATGCAAATTAGTGTTTTTGGAATGTTGATTTACTACATGTAGTCAGTTAATATTTCGACATAATACTATATACAATACAACATTATTTTATGTGAATTAATCATGCATATTTTGTGCTTATAGGTTCAAGAAAATCAATTACAATAATCATAATGATTCTGAAAATATTATAATTTTACCAAGCAACTTTATAATATAATTTCACTCCTTATCACCCACCTCACAATCATGATTAGATCTTAATAATGATGATTGTTGGGGCTTGTATTAAAGGGAGCTCTTTAGAAAAGATAAAGTTCTTCACTTCTGACAAATCTATCCTTAGGTGTATGTTGTCTAGAAGATGGATTTAAATCTTAATTTGGACTCTAAAACACCAGAATATCACAATAAAAGCCATATTGCTGATTGGCTGGAGTCAAATACCATTATTATTACTTAGTTAATTTATACTTGGGTCAAAATACACCTCAGTTTCAAAAAAGGTATTATAGAAAAGGTTGTCTGGGGATGATTCTACTATGATTCTTCAACTTGAATCTTAAAGGTCTAAGTGATTCAGGTAATAAAACGAAATAATAACTATTATTACCTATAGAGTTTAAACAGGAAAAATAAATTTTGCATTTCTCAAAATGATTCAGTATTAGAATATTTTAAGTCTTTGTATTTAAATGTGCATTGTTTTAATAAATGTTTAGTAAAATAAAATTGTGTATACGTGAAAATTTAACTGTGATTTGAAAACTATCTAACTTAAATATTTGAATCCAACTACTAATATTTTTTTCACTAAAATTACCAACAATATCTGAATTGAGTTTACTTTTGAGTATGGTAAAAGCATTACTTTGGATACTTCCAATTGTAAAATCGGAAGTTTGTATTGGTATTGGTGTGTGTTTCATGTCTGGTAAGTTACGTGTGGTTATGGTGTAGAATAAAACATGTGTCTATTATTTTCTGATAAGTTTTATTGTATTTGAGGTTTACTCATTGTTTTTTTTTTTTTTTTGTAAACCAGAGAAACAAACAGCAGTTTAGAAATATATTATTTTATTGGGCAACATTTTTTGAAGTTAACTATTAATAAACTAGAAAACATAAAATCGCAAATATGGTCAGAATATGTATTGGTATTGAGTACCTTGAAATAGTTTACAGCTGATCTTTAAAAAATTATAATCTGTACCATAAGGGAGTATATTCCTGAGGTGTTAAATATTATTGGCTGACACCTAAACAACAATGCTCCAATAAAAACAGCTGATCCAGCACTAACTTTAAAACAATTTGCTATGGAAACCCCATACTAAAATTTAATCTGCCCCAAGAATAATAAGTTAGAGGTCTTGAAATATTTATTTGTTTTTAAATATTAGCAATTTAAATACTTATAACTGGATTTCTTAGCTCACCTTTTGCCGCAGTCTACCGCCATCCAGTCTTGCCCACTACTGTACCAGTCTCTCACACGCGCACACACGAACACACACACAGACTGTAACGGTGCTTTCTTCTCTCTTCTCAGCTGTTTAGGAAAGGCTTTCCAAATACTTACCGTGTTTACCTTCGTTTCAGGAGCCCACTTCCCACATCGGTTCCACTAATGTGTCGGAGATTTACATAATTAACACATTTGGTGAAATGTGGAATTTTTCATGAGTAAAGAATATTTATTCATCTGTCGGTCTATTCATGTTCATTAGTTTAGTTTATTTAATTCAATATTCAGTTCAATTTATTTGCAAGCTGCAATATATTGTGAGCAATGTTGGTCAAAGTCTGTTCGCTAAGCCAACGCACCACTGTAAATGCAAGTTGTTATAGTAAGCATGGTTAATAATTCATTTCCACGATAAAAAAACGGTATTACCTATTTAAAATACAAAAGAATATTAAATAACTGACCTAACTTGACTCTAACTTGCTCTCTTTGGTAGATTATAAATTGTGAAAGTAATGCTTTAAATTAAATTCACTGAATTAAAAAAGAATGAACACCTTTTGAGATGATTTAAGCTTAAATCAAATAAATACTCTTTACGTTTTTAAATCATTAGATTTATAACAGAAACAGAATGGATCATAAACATCAACACATAAATAAATGACGTCACAGGCCGGAATATTTTTTATACCAATGCCAAAACAGCTGATTTGTACGTTATTTGACTGTCTCATTAAAAATTAATAAAATCATGTTACTTTCGGGCCAGTGACGTTATTTGTTTATGTTTAATACTTTATGAAACATACCGTTTGTGTTCTAATTTTCGTGGAAATTTAGGCAAGGTGGAAGGAAAAAAACACCATGGTGGGGTCATGGTGTTTTCCTTCCACCATGGGTAGGGATAGACTATGGTACATCAAAGCTGGCTACATAGTCTTATAGATTGAACTTACTCCATTAAACTCTTATGTATTTTTTATGGATCAACAAAAGACAATTTTCAAAAAGGTTTCTGTCTGGTACATTTTGAGTGTGACAAATTGTTTTGTCTTGTTGAAATAGTTTTATAAATTTATAAATTAACGAGGATATTCTTTGCCTTACTTAGTAGAGTCATAGACATAATTCTATATTATAGAATTAAATATAGACCGTCAGCAGTGCTGCGGTTAGCATAAGTTCTGGCGTCCACCGCTGGGAGCGCCGTGTAGTTGCGGCACACGAGATACGTAACTATTTACACGTCACTCGCAGCGGTGGACGCCAGAACTTATGCTAATCGCAGCCCGGCTGACGGTCTATATATAATTCTATTTGTCTATGGTAGAGTTCTCTCGTCTATTCTTTATCTTCTATTATTTTGTATAGTTACAGTTTATAGCCAGTGCTAAAACATTGTTGTGGAATAAATACAGTAAATAACTTTATGATGTTTATTTATCATATGGTTAAGTGACAATTGCTGTGGACTAATATATTTTGTTATAGATATACACTAATGTAAAGTAGTAATACAACAATGCATATATAATAAAAAAATAATATACAGTAATGCCAATCGAAAATTGTATCCAGCTTTGTAATAAAATTGTAGGTAATTTGTTTTTTATCCCCCCAAAGGGTGTGCAATCGGTACTGTAAACTGCCTGTCCTTTCAGATAAACCAAAATTGTAAACGTCCCAAACTGAAAGAGCTGTATTTTTCATACTTTAACATTTATGTCCGCATCGCCCAAGTATGGATAAAATAGTAAAAAAATATTTTATAAGTTAAATAGTGACCCATTTTATTAGAGGGTTATTCAACTACCTATGTTCTCTTTGATAAAAAGACGTGTTTCATATGGTTTCATAAATAGGCCTACATCTAATTATCTATGCAATTAATGCAAATGCAATAGGCCTATATCTGGTTCATGATCCTTCTTCAGTACTAAAATCAATGCAAACCCGTACTGTGTTTTCCTATTGTTTTCGACTTTTGTTAATTTGCAATAAATACTTTAATTATTAAGAACTTTTTTGTTGAATTTAATAACTATGAAATAAGTACAGTAGTACAAATATTTATTATACGCAGAAGACGTAACAAGAATAATGGATTTATAATAATTTTAATAGTAGTATGTGCTTACACATACGCGTACACACGTTGCTATTTGGAAATTGCTAAACATTTTTAAATATAACCCAGCTCGAATGTGACTTCTCTAAAATGGTTTTCTTTAAATTTTTATAAAATAAACTGGGTTGGTTTGACATGCTCACAAAAACTAGAATAACTAAGCAATTAAAAATATTTCATTAAGTCAGTCAAACAATATTTAAGACGCAACTTTCTAAAATTTAAATATGATGAAAATATATTTGATGGTATTCTAAAAAACGGTTCCTAATTACATGGTAATAATAATATACCCCCGCCGCAGCAAACCTGCAGACTAAGCGAATTTCCATTTGACTGATTGGATTTACACTGAAATGTCTACTTATAACATTTATTCTTGATTTAAATAGAATTAGTTTAACAAGTACTTAGGTTTGCTGCATCAGGGAGGGTAAAACTGTTTTTTTTTTGTAAAATGTGAATAGTTAGTAAGAAATTAAAACATTTTCCAAATTTGATCAAAATATGTTCACAAACAAGGAAACTACAACAGTTTACTTATTCTCCATAAGAACAACATGGGAATTTTAAATTTACAATTTTTTGGAATTTTCTCCGTAACCATTAGGCGCATAATAACGCTTCAATATACTAAATTATTTGTTTTTTTATGCTCTACAAAATGGTTTGGAAATAAATTGCTAAATTTTATGTTTTTTGGGTCAAAAATGGGAAAAACCTATTTTTACCCCATAAAACCCCCCGTAAACCCCCGTTCCCATGGTCCGATCATGCTGGATCGCGAACTCGTTCGAAAAAACGTACGTTTACACGTTTGTACCAAATTTCATCAAAATCGGATCATTTTTGCTCGAGTTATCGTGCTGACGGACACATATATATATATATAAATATATATATATATATATATATATATATATATATATATATAAATATATATATAAATATATATATATATATATATATATATATATATGGGGATCTTTTAGAATTTGAACGGATGGTGTTTTTGGCCTCTAGGGACCTCAAAACGAAAAAAAAAATCGGACCCGCGTCCAGGTCTTACCATGAGTACTACGGTAATAGCTTATTCCCTATATGGGAAATTCGCTAATAGTTACTCCTTTTTGTTGAAAAGTAAAACATCCGTTTACGTTTACGTGGAGAGAATAGAATAGAAAACTGTTAACAATAATTATGATCGAGACAAACATAAGATTACGTTCCGTCAATCCATAATTGGTTTGGGTTGATCGAGATGCGATGAAACTACAACATAAATACGTTTTTGTTTGATTTAGTTTGTCGGAATTTCATAAACCATCAAAAGAAACTATCTCAGGCTTATTTCATTGCAAAAAACCTGTTCATGATTGGAAATTTTACTTGGTGATTATTCTACCTTTAGAACACTTATAGCAGAATTAACAAAAAGACCAAGGGAAAATAAGTGATAACAACAGATTCGAATATGAGCGTATGTACAAAATTTATTAAATAAATAATCGCATTATACAAAAATATATACAAAATAAATATATAACATAAATAAGCACAAGAAAATTCCATCCATATTGACAGGAGTCCCCGTACAAACACCAAGAACATCTACACTACTCGGAATTTGGTTTACCAGCTGAAATTGAGCTCCAGGAAAACCTTTTACAACACCAGAAAATCGGTGGATTCTTAGTTTATTAGAAATTAAGTTATCAAATGTTATAAAAGGCTTACCACTGACCCAGAACGTTATAGCTAATACTTTGGCATAACTTTTATGGCTAGTAATTATCAACCTAACTCTGCATAGTTAACTTTTATAGCGAAGATGAAATTTTGGAACACGAGAAAACGTGTATGTCTTTTATGTCTCTACTGCTAAAGAAGGAAACCTCATCCTCTTGTTATTCCTTCTATTTCTTCCTTCAGAAAACCTCGGTAGATGCCTGGCAGTTGCTATTGACCCTGATGATATCCTTGCAAGCCGGTAAAGAAGTGGGTTTATTTTATAAGGAGCTTCATGACTGAGTTTTCTTTCTTCTTCTTTTTCGTCTTTCTCGTCATCGTCTTCGTCAAGAAAAGCATCTACAACATCAGTTTCGTCATATTCTTCTCTTTCTTTCGGGTTTTTGATAGTCACTGTCGTTTCTTTACTTTCATCTTCATCGTCGTCGTCATCTCCCAATCCTAAATCAGCTCCAATATCTATGTCTTCATCGTCATCATCTTCGTTTTCGCTGTCTTCATCGCTGTTTTCTTTCTCCTTTTGTTTCTTGGTATCTTTTATGGTCTCTGTTTTATCTGTGCCTTCTTCCAGGTAAAGTTCAGTTGCAATGGTCGAACTTTGTGGTTCTACAGAATAGCTAGAAACAGCTGGCTCATCTTCCATTTCAATTTGTTCAGCATACTTTTCAGTTGTTCCATCTTCAGCTTCATCTGTATCTTCGTCGGAATCTTCCATCTCTTCATTTGCAAGACTCATTTCGTGATCGGTTGTTTCTTCAGCGGTGTTTGCAATGCTGATAGTTGTACTCATACTGTCTGAATCTCCGTCTTTCTGAGGAACAAGAGGTTTCCTATTAGATATTCTTTGTGAGTTCGCCTGGTGTAAACTATCGTCCATTGTTTCATCAACTGGAATAGTATTCTGCATTATTGTTTGTGTCGTCACTTCGTTTATTTCCGTCTCTACCTTTTCTGTTCCACCATTTAACGTGATTTCTTCATTTACGTATGAGTTTTTACTACTGTCAGACGATGTTCCCTCTTCGTTTTCCATAGGTTTAGAGGCTATGATCGGTTTACTCATTGGTATTTTTGATGATGAATCCTTCAAAGGCTTTTGAATTTTCGGAGGCTTTGTTTCATTGAGATTGATGTTGCCCTGCACGACGTTCACTGTCATTGTAGTCGCTGTGATGACGGTCGGGGTGGCTTGGGTTGCTTCTGTTGCCACTGTTGAGCTCGGTTTAGGTGACGCTGGTCTTCGAGTTCTGACTGGCTTCTTTTTCTTCTTCGATGGAGATTTTGATGTAGTACTTTCAGCTTGAGATAAAACGGGTGTTGTGGAAGTTCCCAAAGTCTTAACAGGTGCATTAGTAGTTTTCACTGGAGCGGGAGTTGGTCTTACCCTTTTATTCACAGTTGTTGGAGAAGCTGTTTCCACTTTGGTTGGCTTTTTCGCCGGCTTCTTCTGCGTAGAAACAGCAGGCTTCACAATCACTGGTTGCATAACGACCAAGTTCACTTGCGAGGCAGGTTGTTGGTTCTGAGGTGGACTTTGAGGCTGAGGTGTTTTCTGTGGCTCTGAGTATTCGTCATCGTCATCATCATCGTCGTCATCATCGTCATCGCTAGCCCCTGGCTTACCACCTCCGAAGAATCCCCCGAAGAGTTCTTCACTCAGTGAGCCCAGCCCGGTGTAGTCATCGTCAGCGTCCGAGTCTGAAGAGTCGACGTCGTTGTAAGTAGTGTCTTTAGCAGGAGGGGTTTCGTCATCGTCATCATCTTCTTCTCCTCCTGTCAGACCGAACTCGTCGTCATCGTCATCATCATCGTCAAGTTCTCCTAGCCCATAATCATCATCGTCTTCTTCGTCCTCGTCTTCTTTGTTCTTCTCTGCTGGAAGTGCCTCGCCGGGTTCTACAGACACTCCTCCTGGACCGAACCTGAAGCAGGATACTCTCAAGGCAGCCTCCACGTCGTCTAGAGCGCGAAGTTCTAAAGCGAGACAAGCTTTGAAGTTCTCACCATCCCTCTTGATGCTGTAGAGTTTCCCACAGAACTTCGATATTCCTCCGGGCATTCCCATACAGATCGGTTTCGGTTTTCTACCTGAAATGAAATAGCACTTTTAGTGAGAATAGCATTTTTAATTGTATCAACTAATGCGGATGATGATGCTTTAGTAGAGGGATAATTTGATAAACAGTAAAGATATTCGAAAAACTATCAGGACCATAGACTCAAAAAGTGTTTTTGTCATACTACGCGGAACTATATGACTTTCAATACTAAAAAGTGGCTGGAAACTTGCTGTTTTCATTTAAAATACCATATGTTCCCTTCCCTTGTTGCCTTTTCCGATCACTAGAATTAGCTACATGTTAATCTTAAAGTGAAAGCCTATTTTTGCCGAACAGTTCTTTTTCGATCAGTTTTAGATTTTAAAAACGTGACGCAACAGCTGACTTTTAATGTTGTCAAATCATTGGCCACAGTTAACCTCTCATTGATGTTACACGCGTGAAGCATATAATGGCATTGTGTTTTTGTGACTTCTAGTATTTTGGGATTTCCAAAATAATGGCTATAGTGTAAGTAAAAACTTATCCCAAAACTTGTTGGACATAGTAAGTCAAGTTTCAAATGAATTGCTACCTCGAGTATCACGTAACAGTTACGAGATCGAATACAAAAGATTTGTCAACTGGTGTAAAAACGAAAACCTTAAAATTTGTTTCTTGGTTTGTAGATATATGACCTATTTGTAGTATGACGAAGTATCGCTCAATCCTCGTCCAAAAAGCTCTTTGCCAGTGCTTGAACTAATTTCCGTGCTCGACTATCTACTTACTGTTGACAGTGATGTTCCTCAGGACTCGATCGCCGAAACTCATGGTGATCAACATGGCGTCATCTCTCAGGTAGGTAACTGTGGCGCAACCTTGAAATTAAGAAACTGTTAGTAATCTTATCTAAGTTTTGAATGATGATTATAATTTAACCATAGCGTATTTCCGTATACAATTTTCTGTGTGTTACAAAATACAAATATATCTAGTATACTAATATATCTTGGTATACTATCAAGATGTGGGTACTCATGATTAGCAGCTATTGTTTAATCAAATTTGCATTAACATTTGAAATAAATAAGCTAAGGTCACTAAAGGGTAATAGCAATTCAGCAGACACCCAGACAGGAGCTTGTCTATGTCTGATGATTCCACGTAGGTTACCTTAATTTAACTTATGACAGATTCTAAGCTATAAAGTAGATTTTTCAACACAAGGTTCATATTTTTGCTAAATTTGCTCCCCTGCATATAACCTGTACGCTATGGCTATACTATTATTGGTGTCTTGCAATATGGCTGTGGACATTTTGGCTTATGGTCAATAAACCTATTTTATATAACCAACTACCTTTTTAAGACTATTCAAGGCCTCATAGCCCAATTCCTGATAACTTTTATAGTACAGTATTTGGAAGGTCAAAAATCTTTTGCTGAAGAAAGGTGATGGATTTGCAATTTGATGGTGTCCTTACCAGGCCCTTTGATGGGAACGACTGGCAGGGCGAAGTCCCGACAGCAGTTACATGAGAGAGAGGAGCATGTACAGTGCCTGGGGGGAGGGTCGACGATGGTCGGAGGTGCCTGGCGCTGACGGTCCTTCCGGAGAGTGAATCTGTGAGATCCTGCTAGAGTCTTGGACGAGTCTGGGCCATCTGGAAACAAAAGATTCTCATTACTATGTCTACTTTACGTGATGAACTACAAATCCCTTTGTGGCCTTGTGGGACAAGTGGCATATCTGAAGGTTAGTTTAGTTTAAGTTTAGTTTAGATAAAAGAGTCTGTGGTATAATTGCTGACGGAATCTCAGTTTAGACTTTGATACATGCACTACTCAGTTTATCAAAGTAGGCCTACCCATCTCACTACTCAGTGTTCTTGATGGATTTATAATCATTCGTTTTTGTAGGGTAGTCAGGACTCTGGTTCCAGGACATATTGATTCTCGGACCCTAATTTGAACGATCGAGTAGTTTGAAGGTAATTGTCTTCAAATGGTGCAAAATGCAAGTCGTTAGTTAAAAGTACAAACATTACAAAACCTAACCTAAAGTACGGTAAGCCCAAATTAAATTTTAAGGAATTGGAGGCTGCAAATGGATTTGGTCAGTTTTCATTATTTCATTCTTTCCACTGTAATTCCCTTCCATAAAGCTATAACCAGTAATGAAAATTTACGTCCGCATAGATGTTTACTTAATTTTCAAACATGTTATTTCCCACCCTCTCATGTTCAGCAGTGTTGCAAGGAGGGCGCATGCGCCATGCCATCTACTCTCTGTAGTCTGTACATCACGCACGCGTACAACTTAATGACTCCAGTCTGGCAACCGTTATTGGACGACAGTTCGCGGTAAAACTTTCGCGGCTTTCTTTTCCCTCGTCGCGTAAAAAGTCAAGGGAACAACTGTCTTTCAAGGTTCTTTTTGTAAAATTCTTCACGTTTTATGTTAACTGTCAGACATTTCAGATTGTGTAGAACAATTTTAGGCTAACTTCATAAAGGTGAGCACTAGATATCTGGATTAGTAGGACCAAATAAAATACTATACCATCATATTCGATCATATTTTCAAAGTAAAACAAAGAAAAATTAGAAATTCTATAAATATTTATAAATTAATAACATTTTAAGCTGTTCTTTAGTTCTAGAAGGATAACACGTTTATTAACGTGGCAACCAAAAGGCAAAGAACATTTTGTCTTCCTACACTCGTTTCAACAGTGAAAAACTTCGTTTGCAATTTAGAAATCTGCTAAAAAGACAAAAATAACATGTAAAACCATTCCAAAAACACTTATTTCAGCAGTCAGATCATTGTGGGGTTCACAAACACCAGTCATTATATGGATGCAATATAGACCAATAAAAAAAAAACACATTATTTATTTCAATTTCAATATTTCATCTTATTTGTGGATTTAATCAACATAAAGCCTGAATGCAAAAACTGCCAGTTAGTTTTTCACAATTTTAAAAATGTCAACGTTTACCTTTAAACTCACTTCATGAAAACTTAGTTTAACAAGTAGGCACTCACCTATTACTCTTGAAGCTGCAAAAGCTATCAGCAATGCGATAACTAGCAGTTCGAACACGGTTGAAAGCCGCATACTGCAGCGTGATAACTTCTTCTATGTCTTCTGCAACAGTCATGACATAGAGTAAGAAACAGTGTGTGATACATTTATGTTTACCCATTAGGTGATGGGTTTACAGACTTCGAGAGCCAGTGCCTAAAGATGATGCCTTAATAGTTCATACAGATCACTTAAACAATTAATTAAACTCTATACCAACGTATTATATGTACACTTATACTTCCCTGGTGTGGATTAACGTCCGCACTAGTGAGTACTACGACTATCCGCAGTACTATCCTGATAATTAGACAAATTCGTATATACCAAGGCAAAAATGTGGTTCGGTTTCCACTATATGTTGTATGTAAGTCCCTTAGTCGGAACATGTCGGCCTTCACTAACAAGACTATAAGACCGCGCCACTCATCCTACACTCATCTACATTCATACTTGGCTTAAAGTACCAATTATAAGCTAATTATGGTTCCAATTATTGGGACCATTATGATCCCTATAGTGGTTCGTATGTGCGCCATTTCATAAAAAAATATTTTAAAAAAACGCAGCGTTCAGATATATAAAACGTGATCGATTTTTCTACTTTGTACTGAATCTTAAAGAATCAAGTTACTACTTCGCTTACTCCATGTTGTGAGTCAGACATTAAAAGCCATAGAGTAAGAAGCTGCATTTGGTTCCCTACAGGTACAGGTGTGCCAAAAAAGTGCTTTTACCTTAGTGAAAACACTCAAAGTCATTTAGAAAAACTAAACCAATAGAGCTATGGGAGGTTTGAGATTTTATTACTTTCTGTAGCTGGAGAAAGTACATTCCATAGTAGCTCTAGTCTCTGTAATAAGCTTACTTACAAAAAGAAACTGGTTGGCACGCAATACGTTCATCTGACACTAAGAAATTCCACACATTCTCATGCAACATGATATTTAAAATATGTAAATGATCATTGTTGACTCAATTACTATGTAACCCTAACAGTTAATAATATTTCATAACTTTAAGGCGACTTACAACAATTTGACAAGAAACTGACCCAATGTGGTCACAATATAGGCCTACGTTCTAAACACATTTTTTCACATAACAACATTAAACCACTTTGAACACCTAATTGATGAATACCTTCCTAATTAATCATGTGGCCACGTCAACTTTTTCTATATAGCCACAATGCAAAGGATTTTGGGCGTTTTTCCTTAAGTCGAACCAAAAACTATTTTAAGGAAAAACATCTCGCAATCTCTAAGTATTTGTTACACCTGAAACCACTTAGAATACTTCTAATTGGTGAATTATCCTTGAATATCATTTGTCCTCAACGACTTTCTCCGTGTAGATGGGTAATCCGATTTCGGTTCATCGTTTGCCTTAAGCTTGTCACAATAATCACAACATTTCACGTTCTCAAAGTATTTATTACACCTGGAAGCACCTAGAATACTCCTTCATTAATTATGTGACCACTCTGACTTTCTCCCTGTAGCCGGGTATTCTCATTTTGGCAATTTTTTCCTTAAACTTGTTAATATTGTCTCACCAACTCAATTTGAAAGCATTTATCACACCTGGAAGCACCTAGAATACTTCTTCATTAATTATGTGACCAATCTGACTTTCTCCCTATAGGTAATCTCATTTTGGGCATTTTTTGCCCAAAATTTGCTGATTAGGGTTTCACCACCTCACGTTGAAAGCATTTTTTACACTGGAACCACTTAGGACACTCCTAATTGGTGATTATTCCTTCATTAATCATGAGACCACTCTGACTTTCTCCCTGTGGGTGATCTCATTTTGGGCAATTTTTTTGCCTAAAATTTGTTGATAGGGTCTCACCATCTCACGTTGAAAGCATTTTTTACACCTGGAACTTTATAGAACACTCTAAGTGGCGATACTCCTATGTGTCCTCACCGACTTTCCCCCTTTAGCCGGGTAATCCGGTGGATTTTCGGGTTTTTTACGTCCCGGTTGTAAAATAAGTTTTGGGGCTCGTGTGGACGCATGACCGATATCCGGGACACGACCTGGTTGTAGCCGGACATCCGTGTGGTCTGACGGGAGTTTCACTTGTGCGCCGCGCGGAGACTGACTGACTCGAACACTCTTGGTTTCACCCGTCCGAACTGGGTAGGTGCCGTTTTTGTATCGCAAAATCAATATATTTGGGTCTGGACACAGCTGCGTACGCAAAGATCGAAACTGCAATAAGCATTTTATACTTATTTGCCAACCCCGTACGAAGGACGAGTACTCTGCTAGTCCATATATAAATCCCAAAGTACCCATGAAGTTTTGAGAAAACTAAAAGTCACACCCCCATAAACCATATACTTCAAATGTTCGTCATGACGAGAAACCTTGCCCAAAACTATCAATTTTTTCATAAATTGCCATTTAATGTCGTAATTCCAGTGGATGCACCTACGCATTTGCACCCAAATTAATGGAAGATGAGTGTGGGACGAGTGAGATCGTATCATTATCAATATATGCCATTTGGTCAAGGATGATATTTAAGCTGATAGCTATTGAAGGTTACTATATCACAATAACTACTACGAGATTTTATACAAAATTTGAGTTGAGGATCCAATAGTCAATGGTTGAGGTCTGGCGAATGAGTTTGGGATGAGTATGTCTTATGGAGATTTTCCAGACAGTAACAGCTCTATTTTTCAGAGACTTACACCAACAGTTTCCCAAGTCAGCGAATAATATACCCATAAATATATAAATAATATTGCCAACTAAGATGCTGACGGACATGGGGACGTTTGACCGTAAGATGAGTGATAAATAGTACAGTATGAAGAGGGGCGTGAAAGAAGAGCGAGAATCTACTTATATGATCTGTGTAGCTTTGTTACTGACTGACATCAGCTGTTTCTTTACCAACAATTATTTATCAGAGCCTAATGATGAAAGACAGCTGATTCCAGGTTTGCACCATCAAAAACCTGACTTTAGTTTGTTTAACCGAGTAGCTGAGTGGTTACAGTGCTCGCCAAGTAATCAGAATGTCACCAGTTCGATCCTGAGAAAAGCCAGCATATTTTTAACGGTAAAACCAAACCTAGTTGTCATTGGTTATTGGACTTTTAGTGGAAAATATAAGGAACTAGCTTGACCAACTGATCTTAGAATGAAACAAAGATGTCTAATTCATTCAACACTCATCTTTCACCAATCTTCCTGGTGTGTAAACATCGTAAACATTTAATCTAATCTAATTTAATTGTCAGATGGTGCATCTAAATTTGATGAGCCGCTCAATGACTCCTCTGGTGGTCATGTAAAAGCCTTTTTAGAATTTATCAAAATTGTTGATCATTGTTGAACATAAAATCAAAATCAAGAAATCAACATTCAACAAAGACACATTTGTCCGTTATTAAATTTGAAATTATCGCTGAATACACTATTATACAACTGATGGGTCGTTCCGATGTGTCACTGTTCCTGTCGGTTGTTCCGTGTTCCGCTGTACCTCAACTTTCACTCGCTCCGGTCTATCGTCATAACCATCGTTCCTTCGACTTCGGTGATTGCCAAGGTTGCAGACTGGGGCTCAAGGTCGAACGTTGAAAAAGTCGAAATATTATCTCCATAGGAAATTATAAAATATTTGATACAATTATTTAGGAGGTAGGTTGGTAGGATTTTATGCCATAGTACTAACTACTACTACTGTACTAAATTTTGTGTTATTATTATTAAGTAGATTCTTGAAAGATCTTCTATACTAGATACTTAGGCGACACAAAAATTTTTTCTTAGCTGAAAACTATCACTGTCATTTATTAGAATATTCAAGTACAAACATTTTAAACTGTAACTTAGTACTTTAAAGCATTGATGATAAATGCAGTGTAAATGTAAAAGGAATGACCTGTGTAGATTAAATTAGACTAGAAGTCGTCCAGTGGTCTAAAGCTCGACCAAAAATATGTAATGTAGGCCTACAGACTTCCCTATTTTCACCCCACGCTGTAAATAAAATTGTGATAGGAATTTATTACATTGGTTTCAATTTTCTGTTAATATTTTTTTGTCATTTTGTCACCAGCATGGCAACCCATAAAGCCCATGTAAATTTTTTTTTAATTTCAAATTTATATTTTGTGCTTATTTTTTTTGAGCCTATTTTAATTTTTTAAAGGGATTCTGCACATCTACAGGAAAATATCTTTCCAACAGTATGAGTAGATTTTCTCTTCGATGCACATGATCTGAGAAAAAATGGTTTAAAGAAACATGCTTGCCTATTAATATATAGATGATTTTAACGCCTAGTTCAGGTTGGCCCAGTTTTGGGAAAAATACAGAATTTTATTTATGAATTTACGCAACCACTTTTCTGTATCCTTATCAAAAATACGTGGAAGGTTGGAGATGAGTTGTCAATTTTAGGTTTCAAACTCTTCCTCGAACCCATGAAGTATTTTATTTCCTTCGTCTGTTTATTTCCCTCCTGTGTTTTACTTCCACAGTTTGACAGTACCGTTTCTAATCTCTAATTGTTGAATATTTAGTCTGTAGTCACGAAGGAAAGTTAATTTCTATGTACAGAAGTAGGCTGCATGGAGCGAGAGATGTCTGTCAAATCAATTATCATCTTGACCCTTACCCTGAGCTAACGGCGTCGGTAATGTAGACTGCTGTCATTTGAATACTGGAATTTCGTCTTCTTTTTACAGTAGTTATCTTGTCTTTGTGGATCTCAACTGTTGAAGAAAAATATTAGGGAATAATGTGGTAAAGTTATTATGTTATTTGTGTGAATGTAAACATATTCTAATTTTTCCATTTACTTCTGCATATTGTCTATGTTTCATTGTTTCACACTAGATAAAAAGTTACTGTCAATGTGAAAAGAATTAAGTCTTCGCACAATTACAGTGACGTGTTCGTATATATTTCAGTGCGGGAACGCTCACCCTTCTGAAAAACACGGGTTTTTGGGAAAAGGTGGAGTAAGAACATCGTTACTATTCGTTCCCACCCCACTACACCACTGAAAGAGAGTTATCGCCA